CCAAAGACAGCAGCTCGCTGCCAACAGCAGATTGAACGTGGCCTTTAAAAAAAATAGAATGGAATGGAACAGAGCGCATGTGTAAGAGCTGCACATAAATAGTGCTCATCGATGACGCCTATTTAGACGGCCAAATTCGCCGGAGAAAGTAAAGACTAGTTAGAGAATTGGGATCTAAAACTGTCACTGATACCTTTTCATATTTCCAGACAATATTATTTTAGTGTGTGTAGATAACCAAAGGAATCACAGATAATTGATCTAAGGCATAACGTTCCTCCTCTCTGTAGCACTCAGCCTTGACAGTACTGTAGAGACCACGTGTTGCCCATGCAACATGATCCCTCTCTGGGCCTGGTGTGTTTGCTCCACAGAAAAAGTAACAGCAGTACATTCAGAATAAGACATGCTGTAGAAACTGTTGGATCTGAAGAGTAGTGCTCTGTATTATCGTCTGTCGGAACTTCCCTATGACCAGCTGCCAGACGTGACAATGGACTGTGTCTGCTCTCCTTTAATATTGTTTTTTTTTTAGATTACATTTCCTTGTCCTATGATAAGTATGGCTAGCGTCCTTCCTAACGCACGCATCCCCCACCGCTTGTGGATACACAATGGGAAACCAGGTTTGGTATTCGCCGCCCAACATTCGGCATCAACACAGACAGAAATACCGATTACTGATATACGACAACTTATTCATTTCAGTTGAAACCTAAAACAGCGGGTGTGGAACTGTCGCGTGCGAATGTGCACCAGAACGCACCAGTACGGAGTGAGCAAATAAGACGTCAAAACAATACGTAACGTTGTTATGATTTATTGTTGTCAAAGCAGTTGATGTTTATAGTCCGAAGGAGACGGACGTGGGAATCCTTGAGGACGCTTTACCCCGGGATCCCACGGAAGCAAACGTTATTAAAGTTGGATCCTTGAGGACGTTTTACCCCGGGACTCCAAGACCTCAGCAGGAAGCTGGTGAGCACTACATTCTCGGCAGCAAGCCGGTATACTTTCATTGCTTAATTCGGACTTGTCCGAGGACCAAGATGATTGTCATGATCTCAAGGTCGGACTGCGACCTATCGTAAGGACATATCCATCCATGGATGTACGAGTGAGCTTTGGTTGAACGAGTTGATTATTGATTGCATACGTATTCTTGTGTTGATCATTGCTGATTGTATATATCAATACAACCGTTGGAACTTAACGCATAGCGTTCGAACTCTACCTTTTGAAAGCATTGAAGTAACTACTGTTTTACCCCTACTTGGCCTATTTCATCTTGGTACCACACACATCAGCTTGAAGCTCTGCACGTCCCAATGAAGGTCCGCACGTATCAGGAACCTTTTGGATTTCTAGATCGTACAAAACCAAAATTTGGTTTCAAACGTCCAAAAAGCTTCCAAACCAGATGCTGAAGCGTAAATTTGAAGATAAAAAGTATAAATCATCTTGCAATTAGAATCACAAAACTGACATAATGAGGTGTGTAGCTCTAGCACTTGAACTATGGATTAGCTGTCCGTGCTGATCTATTACAGTTCTGGAAGTCCCGAGAATAATATCTGAGAAGATCGGAATAAGTTAGGACAAAAACCTCTTTCGCTATATAACACAACCCTTGGGCTGGTAGGGTCGTGGAGGTGTATCCATGGAAGCACTAGCACATAAAACCCGCCATCTTTCTCTGTCTTCCGCTTGATGAAAAGTGTATGATAACTTAGTCCTGCCCATTTCTTAATGTTGTAATTCCAGGTCCTTCTTTGCCCTCTTCTTCTTCGACTACACCCCCCCCCCCCACCATGTTCCTTGAAGTACAGTCTTTGCAACGGAATCATGTCTCATTACGTGTTTGAACCAAGCTTCTAAATAATTTTTTCGGTAAAATGCGTCTCTTTACTTTATATACACAGGAATTAGTCTCCTTCCACTGTTAAGACATATGTCACATATAGTTTAAAAAAAAAGAAGCACCCCCTCCCCCCCACTCACATACACACATACCCACTCGCGTGCACACACACTTACGCGACTACACACACACATAGACAAAAATTGGGTGGGTGGAGCTATGTTACACACCCTAACTGCGGCACGTGCAGCTTGCCACCAACATCAGAAGAGAGGCAACAACCCTGCTTTCAAATGTGCATACTTTTTGTAGTCCGATTTCACTGAATTAAAAAAATGTGATATTTAAGGACTCAAAATCAACGGCTCTCCTTGCAATAACGGTCGCTAGTTGGACGGCGACGGCCGCTTAGTCGGAGTTCAGTCCCCTGGCTGCAGTGCAATTACGGAGTGGAAAAGAGGGAACGAAACAAATGACATAATTAGGGCTAGGGGTAGGGTTAGGGATAGGGATTGGGTTAGGGTAAGGGTTAGGCTAATGTGAGTCGCAGCGCGTGGTCTAGACGCCATGTTAAACTCACTGTGTTTTGTGATTCGTGCCGTGTCCACTCCGTAATTGCAAGGAGAACCAAATCAACCCTCCAAGTCATCTTATGCTCTAACTGGACAGTATCAATTATACAAATAAAAATAAAAAGCACCAGAATGCTCTCCACAAGAACTGTAGTAGTCTAGCAGTGAATTCCAACTCACTACGGTGAGTCTAGGGATGGAACAACAGATAAACTAACGAGCCTTTTTTTAAAAGCGTCAAAGACATCCTTAAACAAAATATGTGGAACGGAATAAGAGAGAAGATAACAATTAGAGTCCAAAACATGTTGTAAGAATTAGCAAGAAAAACTGTACACATCGCGTCAGTCCGTTCGTTCGATTACAGAAGATACATTTGAAAGCAAAGGAATAGACTGGAGAGCTTGGTAACAAGTGGTAGTCACCGTGGCCGAGCGGCTAGACGCTCGACGCGGATCGGAAGGTTGTGGGTTCGCTCCCTGGGGGAGCCGGGCTATTTTAACAAATGACCTTGGCTTCCAGGTCGACCCAGCCTTGAGTGTACACACTCAAGGCTGGGTCGACCTGGAAGCCAAGGTCATTTGTTTTAGTGTGTGTAGATAGCTGTCCCGGAAAGTAAAGAAGACCGGCGTTATGCTGACCATATCACCTATCTTGTGCTGATTGGTCTATAAAAATATAGGTCTAGCCCTGTATGCCCGATACGCCTAAAGGCGTGGAAAAGGGTCCTTTTCTTTACTTATTACTTGGTGCCAAATGGCAAGATTGATTCGTCAAGGGGAAAGCAGTTAGATAAATAACTGGATGCCTCAGCCGCATGCATATGGCGGTACTAGAGCACTGAACTACTCCGTGATGTTGCTTATAGTCCGGGATAGCGAATCAAGACCGTCTAGGCTTATGGCACATCACTTGATATTTCAGGTGAGAGAGTGGCGCCGCTGAGCGATAACAGTTTGTCTATTTGTTTTTTACTAGAACCAGAACAAAGCTGTAGAAAAACTGCAAAAGAGCACAATCCGCAGGAGCTTCCAGAATTTTTAATTTTTTTTTCCTTTTTCCAATTGAACTGGCATTCCCTTTACAAATTCAAAGCGATTTATCTATCTGGCAAGAGAATTATATTATCGTCTAGTTAATTAATACATGAACTTGAAAATAAAAAAGTATTTTTCGCTTCAAATGTCTTGCTAATAAAGTGCAGATTGCTCTGTACAATTATGGGTTGAGCATCCTATACCTCAGTCGACAATGGTTTGAAAAGGCCCATTTACTGTCTATGTTGAAGTAAACGCCTGAGCTGACAATGTTGTGAGAAGGCCCATTGACTTTTTCTGTTGTAGGAAATGCCCCAGTTGCTTTTGGGATCGGTCAGTCTGGGCGCCAGTCAAATTTGAAGGGGAAAAAAATCCTTTGCGGCGATAATTCAAATCCAAAGCCTTCAAACCAGAAGACGAGCGTCTAGTCTACTATGCCACGCGGCTGCTACTAAAGATTTGCCTGCTGGTCATCATCATGATGATCATCATCTGTTTCCGCAGCGCGGGAAGCAACAGTTTGCGATCCGATAGGCAGGTAGCACTATTTGTAAACGATTTTTCCTAAACCTATAGGGTACTTAGTGGGGTAGACTAGGACAGCTGGTGCCACAATCAGTTGTATATGTCTAATGGGGGTTCATGTATTAGCTCCTGTTGGATTAGCATCCGAGCAGTGGCGTTTTGGGTCTCAGCCTATCACGCAGCAATCCCATATGGGAAGAAAACAAAACACTATCAGAATTATTCTTTTTTTTTATCCATTCTTCCAACCACACATTCATCCAAACTCAATCATATATACATTCATACACCTACCCGCCTACCTACCTACCTACCTACCTACCTACCTACCTACCTACCTACCTACCTACCTACCTACCTACCTACCTACCTACCTACCTACCTACCTACCTACCTACCTACCTACCTACCTACCTACCTACCTACCTACCTACCTACCTACCTACCTACCTACCTACCTACCTACCTACCTACCTACCTACCTACCTACCTACCCACCCACCCCCATCCATCGAATCGCATATCCATCTTTCTGCTTTCTGCCTACTGACTGCATGTCTGCCTGCCTCCTTCTCTGTCGCTCTGTCCGCCTTACTGTTAGCCTGTCCGTCTCCAATGATTTAAAATAAGCTGTAGAATATTGCTAATAAACTGGTTGCAAATAATAACCCAACCTCCTTCCTTGTGTGGGTTTAGAGGCCCCATTTCGGAGAGAAAAATAAACCCACTGGCCCCTAACAAGTCAACTAACTGGGTGGGTATTTTCTCCCAAGTCAAGAGTCCATCTGCCTAAGAGGCAAGGAGCCAACAGTCTGCATACGAATAAGCCAAATCTGTAAAACAGATGTATATAAGTAACTCAAGTTCTGAAACAAGATCAAAGTCTAGAAGGGACGAACAACCAAAACTTTCAAGCGAAGTTTATTGCCGGCGAACGCTAAAAAGAAGACAAAGACGCCATTTCCTACGTTGTCAAATCGTCAGGCTCTATATATTTTTCTTTACCTGAAGTTGTTGCAATATAGCTGTCATACTAGTTTTCAACTCCTCTTCCACTGTGGACTTTGTGGTCATCTGGTTGATGAGATCGTAGCGGAAGCTGGAAATGTCTTGCTTGATCTCTTCAAAGTCATCTGTTGAATACACACACGATTAGAAATCATGAGGCAGAAATCTAAATGACAAAAGACATTAGTAAATCTATTGGACAAACGGACGCCTTTAAGGTTTTCTGAACCTGTTCTGAGAGAACATGATTTTAGTGACAACTGGAAAATGTTCGGAAAATTAAGAAACCCCTTACAAATCTAATAAAGGGGAGAGAATTAGCGCTTCCGGTTTTGGCACCCCTAATGTCTTTATCGCCTCGCTCAGGAACTTGCTCTTCTATAAAAAACGGTAATCACCACTATTTGGCTGAGAGACCAGCACAAGACAGATACTAACATCTAGCTAGATTATTCCATAGTGTCAAAGTTTGCTGGAACTAGTGTCTTAGTCGGACATTACCACGATTTAAAGTCACGTGCAAGCAGGGCATGAATGATACATGAAATGAAATGGATTCATGGGATATGCATTCCGATCTTCCCTTTACTAATGTCCTCTACTTCTTTAACCATGTTTGGCAGGAAGAAAACCTGTCTTTGAAAAAATTGAAAAAAAAAAGCCAAAATAATATATATATATATATATATATATATATATATATATATATATATATATATATATATATATATATATATATATATATATATATATATATATATAAAAGACAAAAAAAAAAAAAAAAGCCAAAAAAAAAGGCTCTCTCAGCTCACGCACATACACATGTATGGTGCGAAAAAAAGAAAAGCCTCAAAAAAAAAAAAAAAAGATGTCAAGTGGGGACCCTGAAAGGGGCCTTGTCTTTGGTACCTCAATAGCGGCTACAATTTGTCTCGAGACGGTGTGCCTGGTGGATGCCCTGATACCGAAAACTGCAGCGTACCGACTAGATGGTGACCAAACTAACCGTTACAACAAGCAGCACATAAACGTTGCCAAGATAGAGTCACTGCTCATTATAGGAGCTGACTGAAATTGGCAGAAATTTTTTGTTTTTTTTTTAACGACTACCATGACCATGACCATGGGACAGGATGTGACGGATCGTGTTGCATGAAGTGAGACAATCAGGAAGTTAATAGGGGTTAAAAAAAAGGGGGTGGGGAAGGGGGGGGGGTATTACCGATTGAATAAGAACTGGAAGTCTGCAAAGAATCAGGTTAAGTGCACACACTGGCAACAATGGTCTAGAAATCGTATACTCTAATTGTAAAATTCTTAACGCGAGCGAATCTTGCTAGTCCATATCACCGTAGCCATAGGCTGTGATTGTGACGCCTCCCTATAGAATAGGAACGCACAACATACACATGCTTATGCGGTGCAAGAATATATTCAGCGAATTGATGTAGATTTTTAAAAACCATCATCGGAAAGTCGCCCATTGGTCGTCGGTCGTGACAGTATTTGGGTCTGTCCCTTTTGATCGCATCAACACTGCAATAGTCCTTTTCACGGCTACTTTGTTGCGGGCAGCGCGAAGCCATTTTATATTTCGCACATAAACTAGTCACAATTATAATTAAAAACTACCCCCTTCGGCGGGATGCTTGTTGAAAATGACATTATTTTTAGCAAAGCAAAGTTTTTTTTTTTTTTTTAAAGTAGACACACACCACACATATCAGTAACAGAAATAAAGAATCATGTTATGCACACGCAGGAGTTATACGAGGTTATAACAAGACAGACATGTGTGCACAGAACAGATAGAATTAGCATACCTTCTGTAACTTCTGCTTCTCGCTGTATGTCAAATATGTACCTCTGGACTATTCGTTGCATGGTTTGCTGCAATAATAAAAAGTAACCATATTACTAAGACCAACAGCCTGCAGTAAGTGACAGCTCTTGCACTACCAGGCACCAATTTGTTAACCCATTATATCCCAAAACGTCTTCACCTAAACATTAGTCGGTACCAAGGAACTCATCACGGGTTGCTTTTATAACTAATAAGTAACAACAAACAAATAAGACAACCAATAAAGGAGCTTAAAGTGCATGGCGCATATTGTGCTGCACTCATGTTTGTATAGAGCAATCGGAACTCGGACAGTGATGTTGTCATCATAACACCAATCGTCTTTGCTTACCAGGACATTGCCTGGTACCCATGTTTAGGCTGAGTAGACCTGAGAGAATGGGTGCATTCTGAAAAAAAAATCTTAGTCGCCAAGACTTTTGAGGTGGACAGTAGTGCGTTTAGCCACTACGCCACTGCGACTCCCAGTCCCGGAAGACTTACCTAATAAATGTTTCGATAAGAATGAGTTAAAATAAATATACCATGAGAGAGAAAACACAAATCAGAGCAGTTTTGTCCAGTGCATCAGTGGAGAGAGATGATAATATAGAAGTTGTAGCTAGAATTATGCATATTTTCCCGTATGTTAACATACAGTAAGTTTAAAATCTTTATAATCTTTAAACCATTTCTCTTCTCACTTAAATAATAATAATAATAATAATAATAATAATAATAATAATAATAATAATAATAATAATAATAAAGAACGAAATAGATGATGCAGACAAGCAAGAACCAGAACGTCTCCAGTGCGCCCATGGAGAGAAACAAGAAAATAGAAATTGTGGCTAAAATTACACATTTGTCACTGTGTTCTAACATACACTCGTACTTTAAAATCTGCATTATCTTCAAACCATTTCTTTCCTCCTTATTAAATTAATATTCAAACGCCGTATTAGAAAAAAAAAAAAAAAACCTGCGCTAGGCAGATGATGATGATGATGATGATGATGATGATGATGATGATGATGAAGATAATGATGATGATGATGATGAAAATAACAATAATACCTGATAGGTAAGCTTCTCTTCCTCCGCCTCGAGAGTAACCATTGCTGACTGGTTTCTGATAGGCGTGGCTTTGGTGGGCGTGGCTTTGGTGGGCGTGTCCACAAAACCTTCGTTGACCCGTCCATTCTTCTCATTCATTTCTACAGCATCAGAGGGATGAATACCCTGTATGTTTGAGCATTGTTAGAGGTCAGACAAAGAGAACAACAGGCCCACATTCAGGTGCCTCATACATACTGGTGGCTGATGATAGATGTCCAAAACTTTCCTTCTGTTCGAATATATTGGCTAATGTGATCCATAGACTGCTAGTCATTAACTCTGCGCGGTAACACTGTCTTGTCTGGTAGTTTGTGCCATTGCTGTCACGTGATTCAACTTGCCATCTTCACTGTCGTCTCCTCACACAGCTTGTATTTGTATACACATGCCACACGTAGTGTGCGTCCTCACTTCCATGTCACCTAGCTTTTGTCATTGCTCCCATAAAACACAGATTGTGACATCACTGTCGAATCATTCGTGCCATTTCTGTCATGTCACACAACGTGTGTTACAATTGCCATGTCACAAATTTATAACGCCATGATTTATTGCTGTCATGTCACATATTTTTGTCATCACTGCCATGTCACACACCTCACATCTTTACTGTCATGTCACACATTCTATACCATAACTGTCGTGACACACATATGGTGCCACCACTGTCATGACATACGTATTGTGCCATCACTGTCGCCAACTATACAAGTAAACAGTAATCAATGACTGCTATTAAATACACGTGTATGTATGCACAGATTCACAGTTGAATGGCAGGCAGCTAAGAAGGTTTATATCAAACTTACACCGATGGAGTCGTCTAGAGAAGAGTTCTTTGCCAAAGACGATCGCATTGAATCCCTGGCTGGTGCCCCTGGACCATTTGGGTTTCGAACTGGGTACTTCCGGGCAGCATTTTCATCATCCTCGTCATCATCATCGGCACCTGTAGGTTATAGTGGCTTGTATTACACTTGGAAATTAAATTAGGCCCTGTGAATTTGAATGCATTTGAGAAAGATAAAGAGTTCAAATCTTCACATGGAATTTACTTGTATTTCTAACAGGTCGGCATCTTTGTCGCAGGGGCTGTGAACGCAGTTTTGCAACCCAGATCTATCAGGATTCGAAGTTAGCTGAAGGTGATTTGTTAGCATGTACTCTACGTTAATTCTGACAATGGTATAAGCGTCGTAACGTTTAAAAAGCAAGGTTAAACTGCTGAATATAAAGTGACTCGGTAAATCATCACAACATCCCATAAATACTGGGTTTAACTTGTGACGTCTTTAGAGTAAATGCAACTAATAGATTCTGTTTGTCCAACAATTTGATTTGTTTAGATGAATTCAGTATTTTAAATATGAGAATGTAAGTGTAGGAACACTAGCAGTAGCGATTACAACATTGGTGATAAAACACAGATTCGTTGCACGTTATTTGTTTTTAGTGTTTGAAATATCAAAACTGCCAAAAAAGCCGATGATGTAGTTAACATTACAACTGCTTCTTGTACTTATTGTGACGTTTGCCTTGTACGCAGTTTAGGCTAAACCGACCTACAAGCAAGCCGATTTTTGGGTATAAAAGATGCCGGGATTCACCAGACACCCATAGTTTTGTCCTTTTTAGGACATTTTTTGTTATTTGAAGCCCCACCCTGGCTTTTGCCAGGGGCTGCAATATAGGCAGGCCATGAGTATGGCCAATTGTCTGAACGCGGTTTCTAGGACCTCTCCACGGTGATCCTCATTCACATGGTGGCACTTTGTGTCATCAGGTGTTTATCGCTTGTGTGATGTCCTGGTGGGGTAGAAAGTCAGTCAGTCGGACCAGACACCCCCCCCCCCCAAACCAGAAAATCTGACTGCACAGCACTAACGGAGCTTCTGAATGGACAAATTATAGGTTAAATATATCGAACACTCAGAGCAGTAACAAGAAACATGAAAAACACATCTAGCTGTTTATAATAATAAGAGTATTGCATCATAGTCCTGTTGCAACAGTGGCATCAAAATGCGAATGAAATTTTAAAAATGAATAAATAAATAAACAAACAACAGTTTCTTAAATTCCAGGATCGTAGTTTGTGAGGTTACTAATTAATGGATAAGAAACAAATAGGTTGAAATCACAGAAACCCCGCTCAGATTTATGGGGCAATTATACTAGGGTGTCGGCTCTGTGGCTAAGTCGATGCCAACGCTTCGTAATGCCGGGTGCGATCCCAGCTGCGGGCTGTGAGCCTTGCGTTGGTTTGACAGTGGTTTCAAGAAAGCCGACCGTCCAGGGCAATTGCAAACCACTGGACGTAAATTTACTTAGAAAAACCATACAACAGTGGCTGTTAAGGTTGGTTCTGCAACGTCATGTAAAGGATACGCAACAAACCTATACTAGGGTAGCCTATTGTTAGGAGGAAGTAAACTAGTCCAGTGTGTGAGGGCTGGTTTAGTTGAAGAGTGTTCTTTACTTAAAAGAAAATATAAATATGCACACACAAACGTGAAAATCTGTTGACGGTACGTCGCCTAGGCAATTCTGCTACTGTATTGTGTTAGCTGTGTGTCGAGTGAACATTCTACTTATAAGTTGCTGTAATTATAGTTATAATAGAACCTACTTTCCAATAACTCGTACATCTAGTAGCTCATGTGTTGTCAAAACTGCATGCGTCAAGAGCTAAAGATAAATGCCGTGTCTGACGCTGGAGCAGCTTACATAAAACACGCCATACAACCAGTGATCATTTGCAGTTCAATAGAAGTTATGCTTAGACAGCTGTCTATTGAGTATTTCGCTGAGGCACGATAATTTGCATGTACGCGCAATAATTGTATAAGAACAACACTTATATTTATTTCTGCACAGCGTCACAAGACAAATCAACGATCAATGTTGAACTAAAAACAAGAATTTGCAGGGCAGAAGGGAAATGGAATTTATTAATGAGTTAAAAAAACACAAATGGGTATAACTAATATTATATACTAGTGGGGTGAAATTTTTCGTTATTTTGAAGCCCCAAACTGGCTCTTGCCAGGGACCGCAACATAGCCCAGCCATAAATTTGGCCTAACAGCTGAATGAGGTTTCTGAGACCTCTACACGGGTGATCCTCATCCACATGGTGCCACTTTGTGTCATCGGGTGTTTATTGCTCTGTGTGATTTCCTAGTAGGGTAAAATGTACTACTACTACTACTACTATTTCCAAGGATAAGGGAGACAGACGATGGGTCACGTCAGTCAGTCACAATCTGCAACAGAACTCACGCAGCGGAATGACTGCAGTTTCTCAACAAGAATACCTTGTAAAACTAGTAAAACATCTAGTAAAACTTTGGCTGACTCACCTTTTACCCCACTAGGACATCACACTGAGTGATAAACACCCGATGTTACAAGGTGCCACCATTCGGATGAGGATCACCCGTCGAGAGGTCACAGAAACCCCGTTCAATGGTTAGGTTATATCAGGGCCAGGTCCAGGTACCTGGAGCTGTCCGTGGGTCATATGAGGGCCCCCAGGAACAACCAGGGTGTGGCATCAAAATAACGAAATCTCGTCTCACATGAGGACGGAGAGACCGTGGTAAAACTGCTTGCTTGGTGTACCCCACTAGAAAATCACACAAGCGATAAACACCCGGTGACGCCGAGAATGACAGGAATCAGAACAAATCAGGCACGTTTCAGCACTGCAGTAAATGCTTGAGAAAGTAATTCAACTAAGATTGAGGAGCCTTTACGTTCTTTAATGAGTCCTGCTGGGTAAAGGCTGCTATTTCTATATGTGTCTAGACCGATCAAAAGTCAACAGTTTATTTGACAAATATACTAGTCGCCCATTGTTTCAAAGTATTTTTTCTAGCATCAATTTTAGCCTTGGATAGGTGCCAAAGGACAGACAACAGTTACAAAAATTCACGCGCGCCCTAGTATGGATTCGAACCCTTGACCATCCAGCAGACAGATATTGTTTGTTTGTTTTAGTATCCAGAAGCCATGAGTTGTTAACCCTTAGGCTCGGTATTATGGATATCGCAACCTTTCGGCCTTGATTCCATTGTAAATACCGTAAATCTGGGAGAAATTGTGGCTTTTCTGCCCACCCCCGGGAGTGAACCCGGACCACAAGGAGTTCGTCACCCGCTCACCGCGCAATCCGGTTTAGCCAACTAGACTAGAGAGCCGGGCAACAGACAGATATAAAGGAAACAAATGAACACTAATGTCTTAGTTATTCGGATCCATCTGATTGGGAAGTCAAAACAAGGATTGGGAAGTCAAAACAAGGATTGGGAAGTCAAAACAAGGATTGGGAAGTCAGCGTAAAACACCGAACTCATCGAAACTACCTACCGTCTTCTTCTGAACTACTGCAGCATTTACAACAACACAGAGTGCAGAAAATCAGCTTCAGCACAGCTTTGGGAATGCTAACGATGTTGAGAGGAGTGGGCAGCGTGCCGCCTTCTCCGATGTAATCCATGTACAGGAGACTTCTGGAGAATTTCCACTCGCGGTCAGAGTCTTCCTGTGAACATAATCAAATAAATCTGGTTCAGAATTTACCCTAATGTTCACGTACAAATCACATGGAAATACTTCTAAATATATTATTTTCCTTACAAGACTACACACATGTGTTTTAACGAGTGCTGTATATGAATTCCACGGAGCAGACACGGATGCTTCCTAAAATGTCTTATCTCAACTTCACCTCACCTTCATTTAGCACAAGCTGCTCTATTCACCTTCTATAGAACACACACAGATACTTCCTATAAGCGCTCTACTATTTACAAAAAATCACATAAAAAAGTGCGAACCAGTGGGTACAAAATCCGTAGAAACAGCCACAATGTTAGAATATGTTTACCAGAGTCCCACACTGTGCACTTACTGCCTGGAAATTGTTGTTTGCAAAGGTTTATGTCTAAATGTTGCATCCACATTGTCGTTGTTTGCAAAGGGGTTATGTCTAGATGTTGCATCAATATCGTCGTTGTTGTTTACAAAGGATTATATCTAAATATTGCAACGATATCGTCGTTGTTTGCAAAGGGTTGATGTTGCATCCATATTGTCGTTATTGTTTGCAAAGGGTTATGTCTAAATGTTGCATCGATATCGTCGTTGTTTTTGTTTTGTTTTTGCAAAAGATTGATGTTGCATCGATATCGTCGTTGTTGTTTGCAAAGGTTTATGTCTAAATGTTGCATCGATATCGTCATTGTTTTTGTTTTGTTTTTGCAAAGGATTGATGTTGCTTCGATATCGTCGTTGTTGTTTGCAAAGGGTTATGTCTAGCCGTTACATCAATATCGTCGTTGTTGTTTGCAAAGGGTTGTGTCTAAATGTTGCATCCATATTGTCGTTGTTGTTTGCAAAGGGTGGTGTCTAAATGTTGCATCAATATAGTCGTTGTTTCTTGCAAAGGGTTATGTCTAGATGTTGCATCAATACCGTCGTTGTTGTTTGCAAAGGGTTATGTCTAAATGTTGCAACGATATAGTCGTTGTTGTTTGCAAAGGGTTGATGTTGCATCCATATTGTCGCTGTTGTTTGCAAAGGGTTATGTCTAAATGTTGCATCTATATCGTGGTTTTGTGTGTGTGTGTGCAAAGGGTTGATGTTGCATCGTTATCGTCGTTGTTATTTGCAAAGGGTTGATGTTGCATCGATATCGTCGTTGTTGTTTGCATTGGGTTATGTCAAAATGTTGCATCGGTATCGTCATTGTTGTTTGCAAAGGGTTGATGTTTCATCGATATCGTCGTTGTTTGCAAAGGGTTGATGTTGCATCCATATTGTCGCTGTTGTTTGCAAAGGGTTGATGTTGCATCGATATCGTCGTTGTTGTTTGCAAAGGGTTGATGTTGCATCGATATCGTCATTGTTGTTTGCAAAGGGTTGATGTTGCATCAATATCGTCGTTGTTGTTTGCAAAGTGCTTTGTCTAGATGTTGCATCAATATCGTCGTTGTTGTTTGCAAAGGGTTGATGTTGCATCGATATCGTCATTGTTGTTTGTAAAGGGTTCTGTCTAGATGTTGCATGAATATCATCGTTGTTGTTTGCAAAGGTTTATGTCTAGATGTTGCATCAATATCGTCGTCATTGTTAATATGACTATCTCTGCCTCCTCGACAGGGTCGGGGTTTGACTGTGACGGCCTTTGATAAAGATCCCACTACTTCTCTCTCTCTCTCTCTCTTTAATTGTTATTATTTTAGCGGGGAAGTAAAAGACCGTTGTCCACACCTCCAGGCATAATTTGCACACAAGCCTAGGCCTATACTTTTATAGACCAATCAGCACTCGGTTGGTGGTGTGGTCAACATTACACAGGCCGCCTTTACGTCCCAGGACTGAACCTAGCACCCTCTTAACGATGGGTCTACAGGAAAGCTAAGGTCATTAAAAAAAAAAGTCTTACTTCATGAGGACCCGAACGCACGACCTTCCGATATGCAGGCGAGCTTCTAGCCGCTACACAAAAGCAGCCACACATAGCGATTAACACATTTTTCATTCTTTCCATATTTAATTCTCCTCTTCTTCTTCTCTTTCTTGGCTCTCCTTTCTTCTTCCCGTGGGCACACTTCAATAATTTATTAACTCATTTATCCCTAGTGAAAACCTTTTCGTCTGCGCACAATTTCTACAACGTATCGTAAGGAGAGTCGGTTCAATAGTTTTTATACGACCTAGCAAGGAAGCACAAATATTTGAGAAAACAAAATTACTAAGTGTAAATGTTAACTGGAAACCGAAATAATCGCAAGTATGAACTAAACACGAAAACAATATCTAGTGTTAACTGCACATAGAAACAATGTAATACATGCAGTTTTGAGACACTTACAGCAATTAAGGTGAAGGACCTGGTCATCATGGCGATCAACATATTGAGCAGAACAGTTACCATGGCAACGTTGTAAGCACCATATATAATGTAACCAATATCCTCAGTGAAAGTGTTGTTGTAACCACCAAGTTTGACGGCATCTGGCTCTCCGCGGCCAAACAGCGACCAAAATACAGTTCGAAATGTGGCCAGGACACTGAATAAAGAAGAAAAGGACGAAACTGTTTTTTAGTACACACACACACACACACACATATATATACTGTGGCATATCTTTACCCAGCTAATAGATTGGGTTTAGCTACACTTGCGAACTAAAACTGGCAGGTTTGCAGATGGAGTCTCTCCGGAAGTGGCCAGAGGGTAAAAAAGTTGATAAAAGGCCGGGCGCAAAAAAATGGCTCTCTTTGGTCTCACCAGTCGCCCTAAGGACATGCATTCCTATTTTTGCGGAGCCGTGCAGGGTTCTTAACGTAACGTAGGCACGGCGGACTGAGTCGGGAGAGATGAATTGGCTTCCTCGTTTAGGATTTGCCGGTACCTTCAGTAGGTAGATTGTGTTAGATCTAGATATGGTTGGCATGTGGTCTGTTCGAACACGTTGTTGGTTATAATGTATTGTTATCTGCGAAGCATGCAAGTTTTGTGCTCAGGAAAATAAACAGATGTTGAATGTGGTTGAATGTGATGATTTTATTCGATTCGTTTGATTCAGAAAAGGGCTTGTAGTTCGTGCACGTGGTCAGGCTAGGCACTGCCTATCTAGTTATATGTTGCAGTTGCTGTGCAATTCACAATTTAAATATTCATCGTCTGAGCCAGGAGTGTCATGGTTCCTGCACCCTTGTCTTTTCTCTACTTTTCTTATTTTTTGCAGTCCAGCTGGGAAAACTTATTTTCATTACCACATATCTTTTCTCGTCTCTCTACTTGTGTTTTCCCCTTTACTTTCCGCTAGCTCATATATATATATATATATATATATATATATATATATATATATATATATATATATATATATATATATATATATATACACCGTTTTTATTTATGAGAGGTGCACACATAGCTGTTGTGCAATATATATAAGTAAGAATGCCACAGACGACAAAGCAGTCAACAAGACTTGCAAGAGACCAGTTCATGACGAGTTTCCTAGTAAGAACAGGATATGCACATTCATGGGAAGATCATGTTATAAGACCCACATAAGCTGTCTTGGACAGTGAAAATAACGAGGCTAATCTATATACATGTTAAACATTATGGTTATGATTTAGAAGACTTATAATTTCTTGTTATCGCACTAATGTTTTACCCTCCAAAGTTTGTCTCCGCCTTAACTTCGCCCTCGTCTGGACGATTGGGCAGATCCAGCTCGATGTCTTTCCTCTCACTGTAGTACCAGAAGAGGTTGTGCAGTCCCACCATGAACGCTAAAATTACCAGCACAAACAGGGCCAGGAACTTGGCAATGTCCTGAATGAGAAAAAAAGAAGAGGGGGGGGGGGAACAGTAATATCTTCGTTAACAGCCTGGTATGATTTGTGATTCTAAATTACAAAATATATATTACAAACGAACTGTCATGGCATAAGTAGAAATATCGAAATGTATATCATCATAATAATGCGCAGTATATAAAGATAAACCCCTTATTACCAAATGACAACTCACACTAGTTGTTTAATTTGAACACTTCAGTGGTTAGTATATTTACATTTTGGACAATGACAATACAGGGAATACACAGACAGGTTAAAAAGAAGGGATTAATCTTTCTTAACATAAATGCAAGTAGAAAGAGAACTGAAGACTTTGTCAATATGGGCTGACCTCTTCCTAATGCAGAATATCTTAGTATTTATATATTACTGCACCTACATGAAAAGATTTATACATCACTAAACCTACAGAATACCGGACTTATACAGCATGCGACTCACTATCATACCGCTCACTGGCTCATACACAGTCTGACAATTAAATATTGATCCTGATTTTACAATGGAGGGGAAAAAACTGCCATGCATGAAGCAAAGCAGGTCATCCAAACAGGCAACATTCCTCTATGATCTGGCAAAATTAAACACGTCTCAGGTAAAAGGAAACAAGTACACAGCCATTTTGTTTAGCTAGTGAAAGTTGCATCTTTACGCATGCAGCTTCGGAGCCAACGATAAACATCAATTTTGTTTCAAACTCGAAAACAAAACAAAAAATGCTTTTGAGGCGAATTGGTGAGATAAAGGAAGGGAGGGAGGAACCTTTTGCGTTTCAACTCTCTGTGGATAAGACTGGCTATTTTTTTCAGTGTGGATGTAGAATTTATGTAATGTCATCAATCCATCTTCTCCTTGGGCACACTTGTTTTCGTCAGCTCTGATTTTTCTCTTCAGGCCTAGCGCCTATGATGATAGCAGTTGTGGCTGCATTTGACTAGACTGACCATATATTACACAAGATGGGGGCTGATCATTGGATGTATCCTATACATTGCCGGTGATACAGAGAGGCCGCACCACACGTAGCGCTGCATCAGGAGCAGAGATCCTGCTGGCCAGGGCCTGTCTAAACCTCTTTATGGTCGGTCGTCACAGAAACAGGTTCCCACCTGGCGGTCTGGTCAGCTTAGACAGGCTTGCCGTTTCCTTTGAAGTCGGAGGGCATCTGTTTGAGAAGCAAGAAACCAATAGCCTGCATGCAAATAAACCAGAACTGTACAAAGGGATGTGCACGCAAAACTCAAGTTCTGGAGTAAGATCAACATCTAGAAGTAAACAAATATCTAGAACTTTCTGCCCCTAGAAGATAAAACAGAAAATGAAGAAGAAGACGATGACGACAACGAAGAAGAAGAAGAAGAAGAAGAAGAAGAAGAAGAAGAAGAAGAAGAAGAAGAAGAAGAAGAAGAAGAAGAAGAAGAAGAAGAAGAAGAAGAAGAAGAAAAAGAAGAAGAAGAAGAAGAAGAAGAAGAAGAAGAAGAAGAAGAAGAAGAAGAAGAAGAAGAAGAAGAAGAAGAAGAAGAAGAAGAAGAAGAAGAAGAAGAAGAAGAAGAAGAAGAAAAAGAAGAAGCAGAAGAAGCAGAAGAAGAGAGTGATGATGATGATGATTAAGAAGAAGAAGAAGAAGAAGAAGAAGAAGATGATCAATTATAGAAACACCTCTTTCTTTATGTAATCTAGAGACCATCTTACCTTAAGCATACGGCCCAGGGAAATTTGCAGAGGTCCCAGTATCTCGTTGGCAGGAAGCAGATAAGAGATACGGGAAAAGCTGAGGATATTTGCCATAGCAAACTGTCCCTCCAGCAAATTAATGGGATCATCTGCCTTCCAATATATGCGGTCTGTAAAGAAAGGAGGAAGGACATTAACGTTTACATACATACGACCAGGACAGTCTCACATTGAACATCTAACAAATAAACATTACATGCAATTGTATGTATTACTTGGCACTCTTAATACGTAACATTTAACAATCAGAGACATAGTATACTTTGGACAGATACACATACACAGACACACAGAATGAGATAGACAGACAGCCATATAAACATACATTTAGACATACATTTAGACAGGCAGACAGTTATTTAGACATTTAGACAGACATTTAAACATTTAGACATTTAGACAGACAGACCGACCGACCGACCGACCAACAGACAGACCGACCGACAGACAGACAGACAGACAGACAGAACGAACGAACGAACGAACTTTATTTTCAAAGGGTTACAAATTAGACACGCAGGCCTGTCTTACATTCGGCCCTTCCAAACTTCCATCTTTCACAAAGCAGTTGTATTTCATCAATTAAGCATGTTATATTGATGTAATAATATGCATATTATATATATATATAAAGTCAAAAACAAAAGCATGGCTGGTAAAATATATGCGCACGCTCACGCGCGAACACACACACCCACATACACACACAAGCCTAATGACTCACTTACACACAAACACATAGGCACCAAGTACACACATACATCCACATACATAAGAACATGCACACATACATACATACCTACATACATGCATACATACATACATATATACATACATACATACAAACTCACATATCACATACATACATACACACATACATACATACATACATACATACATACATACATACATACATACATACATACATACATACATACATACATACATACATACATACATACATACATACATACATACATACATACATACATACATACATACATATGTATGCATGCATGCATGCATGCATGCATGCATACATACATACATACATACATACATACATACATACATACATACATACATACATACATACATACATACATACATACATACATACATACATACATACATACATACATACATACATACATACATACATACATACATACATACATACATACATACGTATGTATGCATGCATGCATGCATGCATACATACATACATACATACATACATACATACATACATACATACATACATACATACATACATACATACATACATACATACATACATACATACATACATACATACATACATACATACATACATACATACATACATACATACATACATACATACATACATACATACATACATACATACATACATACATACATACATACATACATACATACATACATACATACATGCATGCATGCATGCATGCATGCATGCATACATACATACATACATACATACATACATACATACATACATACATACATACATACATACATACATACATACATACATACATACATACATACATACATACATACATACATACATACATACATACATACATACGTATGCATGCATGCATGCATACATACATACATACATACATACATACATACATACATACATACATACATACATACATACATACATACATACATACATACATACATACATACATACATACATACATACATACATACATACATACATACATACATACATACATACATACATACATACATACATACATACATACATACATACATACATACATACATACATACATACATATGTATGCATGCATGCATGCATGCATGCATACATACATACATACATACATACATACATACATACATACATACATACATACATACATACATACATACATACATACATACATACATACATACATACATACATACATACATACATAAAAACATACATAAAAACATACACACGCTCTAAAACACACACGCATACAACCTAGACACATACAGACACACACACACACACACATGCAGTCAGGGGCACACACACAAACACATACACTTACGCAGGCAGGGAAACAGACACACACACACATGCAGTCAGGGGCACACACACAAACACATACACACACGCAGGCAGGGAAACAGACACACACATTGACATACGCAACACCCACACATACACAGATATACACACACAGACACGCACAGTCACACATACGCACACAGACATACACACAGACGCATAACCCGATACAAGCAGAGACACGCAGACATTATATAATAGACGCACCGATAGAGACTCACACAGATACACACAAAGCCACGCACAGCCACAGACAGACACATATACACATGCAGCCATACACACCTACAGACATATAATGGCACACACACACTGACACAGAGACACACACAAACACATACTAACTCCCCCACAGACGCACAAATACTCGCACAGACCCACACATGCAGACGCACACACACACACACACACACACATTATCAAAAAGATAAACATACAAATACACACGAAACAACACACAGATAAACACACAGCCACAGACACGCAGGCATAGACGACACACACACAGACACACAACACAGACTGACACGCACACTGACACGCAGACAGACACACACACAGACACCATACAGACAAACAGACACACTCACAGACACACGCCTACACACAGATACATACACACAAACAGACAGACAGACAGACAGACAGACAGACAGACAGACAGACAGACAGACAGACAGACAGACAGACAGACAGACAGACAGACAGACAGACAGACAAATATATAGACAGACAGACAGACAGACAGACAGACAGACAGACAGACAGACAGACAGACAGACAGACAGACAGACAGACAGACAGACAGACAGACAGACAGACAGACAGACAGACAGACAGACAGACAGACAGACAGACAGACAGACAGACAGACAGACAGACAGACAGACAGATAGACAGACAGAAGATAGATAGATAGATAGATAGATAGATAGATAGATAGATAGATAGATAGATAGATAGATAGATAGATAGATAGATAGATAGATAGATAGATAGATAGATAGATAGATAGATAGATAGATAGATAGATATAGATAGATAGATAGATAGATAGATAGATAGATAGATAGATAGATAGATAGATAGATAGATAGATAGATAGATAGATAGATAGATAGATCACTATCCACGATACAGCTTATAGATAGATAGATAGATAGATAGATAGATAGATAGATAGATAGATAGATAGATAGATAGATAGATAGATAGATAGATAGATAGATAGATAGATAGATAGATAGATAGATAGATAGATAGATAGATAGATAGATAGATAGATAGAAATAACAATAAATGATGAAGAAATTGAAAATGTCACAAACTTTAAATATCTAGGCTCTATAATAAACAACAATGGAGACTGTTCGACAGAAATTAAAAGGAGGATGGCCATAGCAATGAAAAGATTGAATAGCCTCAAAAGTCTATGGTTAAGCACCAACAAGGAGATAAAAATTAGAATTATGAGAGCATGCATCTTCCCTGTGGCTACATACTGATGTGAGTCGTGTACTATCTCTCAGTCCTAAAGAAACAGAACCGGGGCTTTTGAGCTAAAATGCTATAGAAAGATTCTCAGAATATCTTGGACAAAGAAGATGAGAAATATTGACATCTTAAAAGATCTGAACATCAAGGAAGATTGGCCAATAAACAGCATCCTGTCTCAAAAGCTGAAATATTTTGGTCATATCAAGCGCCACAACGGATTGGAAAAAATCATAGCAGAAGGCATGGTACCAGGAAGGAGGTGCAGAGGCCGAACGACACGAAGATGGTCACAGGATATAAGTGACTCCTTGAGTGTGAAAGTTCATGAGGAGGGAGAACTGGCGAGAGACCGAGTTTCTTACAGGCAGACTGTGATGAGAGCGACGTTCTGCAAAGGACCTGCTACATGATGATGATGATGTCATTAGCTTGTCTGCAGTCAGTACCCATTTACATACTCATAAAGACAGACCTAGCAACCAGCCAAGCAATCCAAATGTTAACGTAAAAATTTGTCAGAAATCGAACTGTTAACATAAACATTTGTAAGAAATCAGACTCTTAACTTTACCATAAAAAAAAATTAAAATAAACTGTCAAATGTTCTTACCAGCATTTAACCAATAGATATGTTCTAACGTTTTCTGTTCGTCAACGATGTTACTGATATTGCTCAGGAAATCAACTGAAGTTTGGAACTGAAATGGAAAGCAAAAAGCCTTTTTTTTTTAAATACTGACACCGGTTACAGTGATTACCAAGGCTTGTGTTCGGCAGAAATTAATTATTAAACTTATACACTCAACTAAAAATATAAATGGCGTGATATTGTTATAGTCTTCTTCTTAATCAAATTCCTTCAGGCTTGTACAACAGCATCATCAATTACTAAACCACCACCATCACAACCATTGTTACTTCTACAACTAATACTAGTACTACCACCACAGCTACTACTATTACTGATGCTGTTGCTGCTGCTGCTGATGCTACTACTTCCTCTTCTACTACTAATACTATTATTATTACAACCTACTAAAAGTACTACTAATTCTGCTACAGCAACAAAAATCTACCACTACCACTCCTACTACTACGACGACTACTACTACTACAACTACTACTTCTACTACTACTACTACTACCACCACTACTACTACTACTACTACTACTACTACTACTACTACTACTACTACTACTACTACTACTACTACTACTACCACTACTACTACTACTACTACTACTACTATTACTTCTACTACTCCTACTACTTCTACTACTACTACTACTACTACTACTACTACTACTACTACTACTACTACTACTGCTACTACTACTACTCCTACTACTACTACGACTACTACTACTACTACAACTAGTACTACTTCTACTCCTCCTCCTACTACTACTACTATTACTCCTACTCCTACTACTACTACTACTCCATCTTCTACTACTACTACTACTACTACTTCTACTACTACTACTACTACTACTACTACTACTACTACTACTACTACTACTACTACTTCTCCTACTACTACTACTACTACTACTACTTCTCCTACTACTACTTCTACTACTACTACTACTACTACTACTACTACTACTACTACTACTACTCCTACTACTACCACTACTACTACTGCTGCTGCTGCTGCTACTACTACTACAACAACTACTACTACTACTACTACTACTACTACTACTACTACTACTACTACTACTAGTAATAGTACTAGAAATATGGGGAAAACACAAATCTTGTACATGAGAAAAATATGGGAAAACACAAACAAACCTTGTACATAGCCTAAGCCCAATACGGGGAAAACACAAACAAACCTTGTACATAGCGAAAGCCCAATATAGGGAAAACACAAACCTTGTACATAGCCCAAGCCCAATATGGGGAAAACACAAACAAACCTTGTACATAGCCCAAGCCCAATATAGGGAAAAACACAAACAAACCTTGTACATAGCTCAAACCCAATATGGGGAAAACACAAACAAACCTTGTACATAGCCCAAACCCAATATGGGGAAACACAAACAAACCTTGTACATAGCCCAAGCCCAATATGGGAAAACACAAACAAACCTTGTACATAGCCCAAACCCAATATGGGAAAACACAAACAAACCTTGTACATAGCACAAACCCAATATGGGAAAACACAAACAAACCTTGTACATAGCCCAAGCCCAATATGGGAAAACACAAACAAACCTTGTACATAGCCCAATATTTCAAAGTAAAAATGGAGATGTAGATGCTGATGACCATGAAGTCCAGAAGATTGTAGAGGTTCAACATATGCTCCATGACACCCGTGTGATACAGCTGATTGCATTCCTGACAGACCATACCTGTGTGAGCACATGAACAACAGAAGCAATGAGTAGTTACATCACACAACTACAGGTAGACCATACCTGTGTGAGAACACCAACAACAGAAGCAATGAGTAATGACATTAGACAACTACAGGTAGACCATACCTGTGTGAGAACACCAACAACAGAAGCAATGAGTAATGACATCACACAACTACAGGTAGGCTATACCTGTGTGAGAACACCAACAACAGAAGCAATGGGTAGTTACATCACACAACTACAGGTAGATCATAGCTGTGTAAGAACACCAACAACAGAAGCAATGAGTAATGACATCAGACAACTACAGGTAGATCATAGCTGTGTAAGAACACCAACAACAGAAGCAATGAGTAATGACATCAGACAACTACAGGTAGACCATACCTGTGTGAGAACACCAACAACAGAAGCAATGAGTAATGACATCACACAACTTCAGGTAGGCCATACCTGTGTAAGAACACCAACAACAGAAGCAATGAGTAGTTACATCACACAACTACAGGTAGGCCATACCTGTGTGAGAACACCAACAACAGAAGCAATGAGTAAATACATCACACAACTACAGGTAGACCATACCTGTGTGAGCACACCAACAACAGAAGCAATGAGTAATGACATCAGACAACTACAGGTAGACCATACCTGTGTGAGCACACCAACAACAGAAGCAATGAGTAATGACATCAGACAACTACAGGTAGACCATACCTGTGTGAGCACACCAACAACAGAAGCAATGAGTAATGACATCACACAACTACAGGTAGACCATACCTGTGTGAGCACACCAACAACAGAAGCAATGAGTAATGACATCACACAACTACAGGTAGACCATAGCTTCGTGAGAACAATAACAGTATAAGTAATAGTTAATTCTGGCATTCGACATCTGGAAGAAGCCTATGGGAGTAACAATATAAGTAATGGGTAATTATAGAGCTCATTCATTGGCGGACTAGGCTTACAGTAGAACACGAACAGTAAAAGGAATGGGTAATTATAGCATACAGCCACTGATAGACATGGTTACAGCAAAATGGAAAAGAAAAAAAAACTATGTATAATTATTCTAACCAATTTATGTATCTTAACCCGTTCCCAATTAGGACACAATTTTTTAAAATAATAAAGCTACACTGCACCTGGATTTAAGGTTCCTAGGTAATCGTCGCCGAGACAACATCTGACAAACAATGTCTGCACTAGAACCATAACAGTAGAAACAACGAAAAATCATAGCAGACACCATCTGGCAAACAGTGTCTAGACTAGAACAGGGACAGCAAAAACAGCGAGAAATCATAGTAGACAACATCTGGCAAACAATATCTACACTTGAACAGGGACAGTAGAAACATCGTGATATCATAGCAGACAACATCTGGCAAACAGTGTCTACACTAGAACAATAACAGTAGAAACAACTAGGAATCATAGCAAACAACATTTGGCAAACAGTGTCTACACTAGAACAGGGACAGTAGAAACAACGAGAAATCATAGCATACAACATCTGGCAAACAACGTCTACACTAGAAAAATAACAGTAGAAACAACGAAGAATCATAGCAGACAACATCTGGCAAACGATGTCTGCACTAGAACAATAACAGCAGAAACAACAAGGAATCATGGAAGACAACATCTGGCAAACAATCTCTACACTAGAACAGGGACAGTAGAAACAACGAGAAATCATAGCATACAACATCTGGCAAACAACGTCTACACTAGAAAAATAACAGTAAAAACAACGAAGAATCATAGCAGAAAACATCTGGCAAACGATGTCTGCACTAGAACAATAACAGCAGAAACAACAAGGAATCATGGAAGACAACATCTGGCAAACAATCTCTACACTAGAACAGGGACAGTAGAAACAATGAGGAATCATAGCAGACAACATCTAGCAAACAATGTCTGTAATAGAACAGGGACAGTAGAAACAACTAGGAATCATAGCAAACAACATCTGGCAAACAGTGTCTACACTAGAACAGGGACAGTAGAAACATCGAGAAACCATAGCAGACAACATCTGGCAAACAATGTCTGCACTGAAACAATAACAGTAGTAACAACGAGGAATCCTAGCAGAAAACATCTGGCAAACAATGTCTACACTAGAACAATAACAGCAGAAACAACAAGGAATCATAGCAGACAACATCTGGCAAACAATCTCTACACTAGAACAGGGACAGTAGAAACAATGAGGAATCACAGCAGACAACATCTGGAAAACAATGTCTGTACTAGAACAGGGACAGTAGAGACAACTAGGAATCATAGCATACAACATCTGGCAAACAGTGTCTATACTAGAACAGGGACAGTAGAAACAACGAGGAATCATAGCAGACAACATCTGGCAAACAACGTCGACACTAGAACAATAACAGTAGTAATATCGAGGAATCATAGCATACAACATCTGGCAAACAGTGTCTGCACTAGAACAGGGACAGTAGAAACAACAAGGAATTACAGCAGACAACATCTGGCAAACAATGTCTACACTAGAACAGGAATAGTAGGAAAACATGAGGAATGATAGCAGGCAACATCTGGCAAACAATGTCTCCTCTAGAAAATGATAGGAAACAATGAGTAGTCATAGCAGATCTGATTATCTATACAGATGGTTCGGTGTTGAGAGGAAAGAGAAGTGCCTTGGGGTTTGTAGTGAAAGCCAGTGGAAAATCTTTAGTTTAAGACAGCCTAGCATATGACACCACATCATCTAGGAAAATAATAGAGGTACAGGTGGTAACGGCAGCTCTTCAGTGGCTAGAGAACAAGATGCATGTCGCAACTGTAAAAGACTGAAAGCATACTGAGAGAGTAAAGACTGGGTTGCTTCGAGCAGAGTGGCAAGCTTCACTGGGTTGGTCACGGGTAGTGAGCATACTTTGGATCTTTTCTTCAGGTGATGTCGGCGTGATGGGTAATGAACAGGCAGACAGATTGGCTAGATCTGCACCACTGGGTATCGCTAAGAATCACTAATGCTGACCTGTTGAAGAGAACTAAAGAGATTCCTGTGAATAAAGAGGTGAAAAATAAGGACATATCAAATAATGCACGGAGAATGGAGCTAGAGAGCAATGTTAAAATGACGGGCAAGAAATGGCGAGCTGCATGCGATAGCAAAGGATAGCACGACTTGGCGTGAGTTAGGTAGGACACTATGCTCCACAGGGGCTTAATAGACAGAAGAAAAAGACAATTTATGCAACAGACATCACATAGAGCAGAAACTAGCGACTGACCAATAATCCACAGACTCATCAACATCTCTGTGACACTTGGGAAGTTGGCCCGCAGCGGAAAGTCTTCTTCATACACTGTCTCATTGGTCTGGTTCCTGAACTGTAGGTACCTGTCAGGACGGAATAGTTAGTGCATTCTGTAATGTCTGTTATACTTTTGCTTGTTGTTATTCTTCTCCTATTCTTTTTTTCCCCGTATTCTGCATTTGACCTTTTAATGGCAGTTGGCACGTATTTACGTTTAACTATTCCGCTCTGGTTAAAATCTAGGCTGCGACATCTATGCCTTTTTGCTAAAAAGTATGATTTCATAAAACCTTTAACTAGTCAAATTTTATCACACATGAGGTAAGGGAAGTGGGTTTACTCTTTTTTCCCTCTCTCTCTCCAAAAACGGGACACGTGAAACCACACGGGAAACAGTTTTTGTTGACACATCGATACTCTTATTGCATATGAATATCTTAATATGAGTTTCCGTCTGCTTCCAGTGTATATGAAAGAAGAATCTTACAACAGAATCGTTATCATAGTCAACAAGGATCATATTTGCTGAATACACATGCTACAAATATTCAGTTTTATTTTGTGGGTAGCTCTTTAATTTTGAAACTGCCTGATGTGACCATTCTTATTTCCAACTGGGACACGTACATAGCTTCTCCTAATGTTACTAGTGTCAGAAGGCAAGGTTCGCTATCTGCTATCCCAGAAAGATGAGGACAGTAAAAAAAAAAGGAGGGGGAAAAAAAGGGGGGGGGGAAAGGGGTAGAAACGATTCTATGCATGATTTTTCTAAAAGGCCATAATGAGTGGGAATGGTAGTGATGTCTGTCCACAAACTTTTGTCTCGTGTACTGTCAATCATTTCTGACAGAGGTTTCCCTCTGCCATTCTTTCCCTCCAACTTTCTCAGGGTCATGATGTACTCCATCCAGTTTTCTCATTCTCCTGACATAACCAAATCAAGTAGATTGTCTCCTTCTGATGTGGGCAATTAGTTCCCGTTGTCAATCAGTTTATTTCAAGACATCTTCACCAAACTTTGTATCTGTTGAGGGTTCTCACCATTCGTCTACAAACCCAATCTCCGAAGCTTCCAAATAATTGTGCACTATTCGAACAACTGTCAGTGATTCACTTCCATATACGAGGATAGGATTTATACAACTTTTAGGAATTCATTTTCTTGTCTCACATGACAAAGAAACATTGCACAGAATGTTTTTCATTTTGTAAAATGCTACCTTTACTTGAGCAATTCTTCAATATGTCTTCCATCTGATGTTATCAGGGTACGCAAGTACTCGTTCCTTATTCTATGAAAATTTTAAAAAGTCTACACTATGAGATAAACCAGATCTTTAGTAGCCAGAGTTTTGGATGTAACCAAACTCCTACCCCACCCCAACAACATTTAGCCAGCGCTTCCTTTTGCTTTGGATCTACACATCTAGCCGCAGTGGAGCACCGTAATATGAAATTTTGTAGTTTCACAAATCTTTCATTAGTGAGGCACCGTAATATGGAATGACGTAGTTTCACAAATCTTTCATTAGTGAGGCACCGTAATATGGAATGATGTAGTTTCACAAATCTTTCATTAGCGGGGCACCGTAATATAGAATGATGTAGTTTCACAAATCTTTCATTAGTGAGGCACCGAAATATGGAATGATGTAGTTTCACAAATCTTTCATTAGCGGGGCACCGTAATATAAAATTATGTAGTTTCACAAATCTGTCATTAGTGGGGCACCGTAATATGGAATGATGTAGTTTCACAAATATTTCATTAGTGGGGCACCGTAATATGAAATGATGTAGTTTCACAAATCTTACATTAGTGGGGCACCGTAATATGGAATGATGTAGTTTCACAAATCTGTCATTAGTGGGGCACCGTAATATGAAATGATGTAGTTTCACAAATCTTTCATTAGTGAGGCACCGTAATATAGAATGATATAGTTTCACAAATCTTTCATTAGTTGGGCATCGTAATATGAAATGATGTAGTTTCACAAATCTTTCATTAGTGAGGCACTGTAATATAGAATGATGTAGTTTCACAAATCTTTCATTAGTTGGGCATCGTAATATGAAATGATGTAGTTTCACAAATCTTTCATTAGTGAGGCACCGTAATATAGAATGATGTAGTTTCACAAATCTTTCATTAGTTGGGCACCGTAATATGAAATGATGTAGTTTCACAAATCTTTCATTAGTGAGGCACCGTAATATAGAATGATGTAGTTTCACAAATCTTTCATTAGTTGGGCACCGTAATATGAAATGATGTAGTTTCACAAATCTTTCATTAGTGAGGCACCGTAATATGGAATGATGTAGTTTCACAAATCTTTCATTAGTTGGGCACCGTAATATGAAATGATGTAGTTTAACAAATCTTTCATTAGTGGGGCACCGTAATATGAAATGATGTAGTTTCACAAATCTTTCATTAGTGGGGCACCGTAATATGGAATGATGTAGTTTCACAAATCTTTCATTAGTTTGGAACCGTAATATGAATTGATGTAGTTTCACAAATCTTTCATTAGTGAGGCACCGTAATATAGAATGATGTAGTTTCACAAATCTTTCATTAGTTGGGCACCGTAATATGAAATGATGTAGTTTCACAAATCTTTCATTAGTGGGGCACCGTAATATGAAATGATGTAGTTTCACAAATCTTTCATTAGTGAGGCACTGTAATATGGAATGATGTAGTTTCACAAATCTTTTATTAGCGGGGCACCGTAATATGAAATTATGTAGTTTCACAAATCTTTCATTAGTGGGGCACCGTAATATGGAATGATGTAGTTTCACAAATATTTCATTAGTGGGGCACTGTAATATGAAATGATGTAGTTTCACAAATCTTTCATTAGTGAGGCACCGTAATATGGAATGATGTAGTTTTACAAATCTTCCATTAGTGGGGCACCGTAATATGGAATGATGTAGTTTCACAAATCTTTCATTAGTGAGGCACCGTAATATGGAATGATGTAGTTTCACAAATCTTTCATTAGTTGGGCACCGTAATATGAAATGATGTAGTTTCACAAATCTTTCATTAGTGAGGCACCGTAATATGAAATGATGTAGTTTCACAAATCTTTCATTAGTGAGGCACCGTAATATGAAATGATGTAGTTTCACAAATCTTTCATTAGTGGGGCACCGTAATATGGAATGATGTAGTTTCACAAATCTTTCATTAGTTGGGCACCGTAATATGAAATGATGTAGTTTCACAAATCCAACATTATTGGAGAACTTCTTGACATCAGGTTGACTGCAATCTTCGTATTTTTACGCAAAAACCTAAGGTTTTCCAAAAGTATATCTTTGTCTGATGTAGTGAACATACAACGTTTCCCAGATCTCTTTAGATTTAGTATACCACCAGTGATTTCTGAAACATAGTCCTTAAACCTGAAAAGGTTGGCCACTGCTGTTTTAGATTCCAGTGTGGGTTCCACATGGGGGGGGGGGGTGTGGGTACACCCACTTTTACAAGTATGTCGTAAAAGGCTACTAATTGTGGGTTTGTTGAGGATGAAATTCAGTGATATCACAACCTTAGCTTAAAATCACAACACAAAGTGGCAACGCTTTTTTAAAGGAGAAAGCAAAAGGGGGAGGAGGAAAAGCAGGATGACGAACAGGAGGAGGAAACGAAGAAGAAGAACAATAACCAGAAGGAAAATAAAAAGAAGATAAAGACAGTTATTCATTATTGTGGTTACTAGAAATAGTCTACATAAAAAGTTTTTCAAATCCCATAGTTGATCACTGTGTGTCAAATAAATATAGTAAAGATAAACCGTTTCTTGTGTCTACTGTCCAATCTGATTTTGTTTATTAAAAAAAAAAAAGGAACAACAGAATAAAATAAAAACCAGGAAGAAACCAACATCTTTTCAAAGTTAAAAGAAGTGAACCTACGCTTTATGGATTTCTGGGTACTCCGTCCTCAACGTTCTGTATTTGCTGACACTCTGAGAAGCTTCGATAGTGGACACTACAATCAGTAAAAGAAACGCCAAAAAAGACATGGCGTGACATAGAAATTTCACCACAGGAAACTGCAGTACTTTTGCACCCTGTAAATAAAAATCTTATATTAGATACGAAAAAAACAATTAACAATCAAGAAATGAATGCACTTAACTCAAGTTATGACTAAGACGATATAAGATAGAGAAATCCATTACAGAAAGAAGCGAAAGTGTCGATAAACATTCCTTTGTTTCTTTACACGTCTTCAACTTAATCACACTGGCTCAGCTTGCTAGACCTAGCTTGTGTTTAGTGAAATCATTTCTTGATATCAGCTCTACTGGAGTCACTATTTCTTCTTCTTTTTTTGTTCGGTTGAAATAGATTATATCTGCAATGTTGTCTCTACTAGGAACTTTCACTGTTTTGTGTGTTTTTTTTTTTAAACAAAAACTCCAATTCACTCAACACACGCTCACATCTCCAAAATTTATAAGCATATCAGTTAAACATGGAAATAAAACAAACTAGCAAATTTAAATATCTAGGCTCATTTTTCAGCTCAGATGGAAGAATGGATAGAGAAATTAACATACGATGTGCGAAAGCAAATCAGGTTATGCGACAATTAACACCGCTTCAGACGCACAGAAAGATACCTCCGTCAACCAAAGCAAATCTCGTAAGAATGGTTTTTTGACCGACATTGCCCTACAATTGACAAACATAGACCCTTACCACAAATATTGAGCGCATGATGACAACAGAGATGAGATGTCTCAGGGGAGATGCCGGTGTGACAAGAAGAGATACAATCAGGAATAAAGAAGTTAGAAGAAGACGAGGACTGAAACCAGTCATGCAGTTCATTAAAGAACAACAAATGAGATGGTTTGGCCATCTGACGAGAATTCCCTGGTACCAACTGCCACAGAGAGCCCCACTGAAGAAACATAAGGAACACAGAGGAAGGGAAAGACCACGCAAGAGATGGAGCGACATCATCAAGAGCAATCTAACAGAAATGAACACCAGCTTATACAATGAATAGGAAAACGCTCACAAACGATCCTTACATCCAACCCCCCCCCCCCCCTCCTTTCCCCCATCACTCCGCTGGGGTAAAAGGTGGAAGAGAAGAAAAACAATAATTCACTCAGCAACTTGTACAAGTTTGGCTTCCCCCGCTGTTTCTTTTGGCCAGATGTTTTTACCTTGAAATATTGTATTTGGGATATTCTTGGAGAACGTGATCAGTTGTCTCCACTTGTGCACACATGGCTGATTCGCCAATGCTGACATTTTTAACACTTAAGGGAAGAATCAGACATGTTGACTTGGAGTAAATGGAGGACAGGTATATAAGGAGAACATATGGTGAACTTGGAGTAAATGGAGGACAGGTATATAAGGAGAACATATGCCAAACTTGGAGTAAATGGAGGACAGGTATATAAGGAGAACATATGCCAAACTTGGAGTAAATGGAGGACAGGTATATAAGGAGAACATATGCCAAACTTGGAGTAAATGGAGGACAGGTATATAAGGAGAACACATGCCGAACTTGGAGTAAATGGAGGACAGGTATATAAGGAGAACACATGCTGAACTTGGAGTAAATGGAGGACAGGTATATAAGGAGAACACATGCTGAACTTGGAGTAAATGGAGGACAGGTATATAAGGAGAACATATGCTGAACTTGGAGTAAATGGAGGACAGTTATATAAGGAGAACATATGCCAAACTTGGAGTAAATGGAGGACAGGTATATAAGGAGAACATATGCCAAACTTGGAGTAAATGGAGGACAGGTATATAAGGAGAACACATGCTGAACTTGGAGTAAATGGAGGACAGGTATATAAGGAGAACATATGCTGAACTTGGAGTAAATGGAGGACAGGTATATAAGGAGAACATATGCTGAACTTGGAGTAAATGGAGGACAGGTATATAAGGAGAACATATGCCAAACTTGGAGTAAATGGAGGACAGGTATATAAGGAGAACACATGCCAAACTTGGAGTAAATGGAGGACAGGTATATAAGGAGAACACATGCTGAACTTGGAGTAAATGGAGGACAGGTATATAAGGAGAACACATGCCAAACTTGGAGTAAATGGAGGACAGGTATATAAGGAGAACACATGCTGAACTTGGAGTAAATGGAGGACAGGTATATAAGGAGAACATATGCCAAACTTGGAGTAAATGGAGGACAGGTATATAAGGAGAACACATGCCAAACTTGGAGTAAATGGAGGACAGGTATATAAGGAGAACACATGCTGAACTTGGAGTAAATGGAGGACAGGTATATAAGGAGAACATATGCCAAACTTGGAGTAAATGGAGGACAGGTATATAAGGAGAACATATGCCAAACTTGGAGTAAATGGAGGACAGGTATATAAGGACTACATATGCCAAACTTGGAGTAAATGGAGGACAGGTATATAAGGAGAACACATGCCGAACTTGGAGTAAATGGAGGACAGGTATATAAGGAGAACATATGCCAAACTTGGAGTAAATGGAGGACAGGTATATAAGGAGAACACATGCCGAACTTGGAGTAAATGGAGGACAGGTATATAAGGAGAACATATGCCAAACTTGGAGTAAATGGAGGACAGGTATATAAGGAGAACACATGCCGAACTTGGAGTAAATGGAGGACAGGTATATAAGGAGAACATATGCCAAACTTGGAGTAAATGGAGGACAGGTATATAAGGAGAACATATGCCGAACTTGGAGTAAATGGAGGACAGGTATATAAGGAGAACATATGCCAAACTTGGAGTAAATGGAGGACTGGTATATAAGGAGAACATATGCCAAACTTGGAGTAAATGGAGGACAGGTATATAAGGAGAACACATGCCAAACTTGGAGTAAATGGAGGACAGGTATATAAGGAGAACATATGCCAAACTTGGAGTAAATGGAGGACAGGTATATAAGGAGAACACATGCCGAACTTGGAGTAAATGGAGGACAGGTATATAAGGAGAACATATGCCAAACTTGGAGTAAATGGAGGACAGGTATATAAGGAGAACACATGCCGAACTTGGAGTAAATGGAGGACAGGTATATAAGGAGAACATATGCCGAACTTGGAGTAAATGGAGGACAGGTATATAAGGAGAACATATGCCGAACTTGGAGTAAATGGAGGACAGGTATATAAGGAGAACACATGCCGAACTTGGAGTAAATGAAGGACAGGTATATAAGGAGAACATATGCCAAACTTGGAGTAAACGGAGGACAGGTATATAAGGAGAACACATGCCGAACTTGGAGTAAATGGAGGACAGGTATATAAGGAGAACATATGCCGAACTTGGAGTAAATGGAGGACAGGTATATAAGGAGAACATATGCCGAACTTGGAGTAAATGGAGGACAGGTATATAAGGAGAACATATGCCGAACTTGGAGTAAATGGAGGACAGGTATATAAGGAGAACATATGCAAAACTTGGAGTAAATGGAGGACAGGTATATAAGGAGAACATATGCAAAACTTGGAGTAAATGGAGGACAGTTATATAAGGAGAACATATGCCGAACTTGGAGTAAATGGAGGACAGTTATATAAGGAGAACATATGCCGAACTTGGAGTAAATGGAGGACAGGTATATAAGGAGAACATATGCCGAACTTGGAGTAAATGGAGGACAGGTATATAAGGAGAACATATGCAAAACTTGGAGTAAATGGAGGACAGTTATATAAGGAGAACATATGCAAAACTTGGAGTAAATGGAGGACAGGTATATAAGGAGAACATATGCAAAACTTGGAGTAAATGGAGGACAGTTATATAAGGAGAACATATGCAAAACTTGGAGTAAATGGAGGACATGTATATAAGGAGAACATATGCAAAACTTGGAGTAAATGGAGGACAGTTATATAAGGAGAACATATGCCGAACTTGGAGTAAATGGAGGACAGGTATATAAGGAGAACATATGCAAAACTTGGAGTAAATGAAGGACAGTTATATAAGGAGAACATATGCCGAACTTAAAGTAAATGGAGGACAGGTATATAAGGAGAACATATGGTGAACTTGGAGTAAATGGAGGACAGGTATATAAGGAGAACATATGGTGAACTTGGAGTAAATGGAGGACAGGTATATAAGGAGAACACATGCCGAACTTGGAGTAAATGGAGGACAGTTATATAAGGAGAACATATGCCGAACTTGGAGTAAATGGAGGACAGTTATATAAGGAGAACATATGCCGAACTTGGAGTAAATGGAGGACAGGTATATAAGGAGAACATATGCCAAACTTGGAGTAAATGGAGGACAGTTATATAAGGAGAACATATGCCGAACTTGGAGTAAATGGAGGACAGGTATATAAGGAGAACATATGGTGAACTTGGAGTAAATGGAGGACAGGTATATAAGGAGAACACATGCCGAACTTGGAGTAAATGGAGGACAGTTATATAAGGAGAACATATGCCGAACTTGGAGTAAATGGAGGACAGGTATATAATGAGAACATATGCCGAACTTGGAGTAAATGGAGGACAGGTATATAAGGAGAACATATGCCAAACTTGGAGTAAATGGAGGACAGGTAAATGAGGAGAACATATGCTGAACTTGGAGTGAATGAAGAACAGGTATATGAGGAGAACATACGCTGAACTATTTTCCCCACTATAACGCATCAGACATATGGTGCTGGTCCAGCGGCTCTCACCCTTTTTAATCCAATGACCTTTTAATACAGTTCCTCATGTTTTAACGACCACCAGTCATAGAATTATTTTTGTTGCTACTTTATAACTTCGGGGATCGCCGCGGCGTTCGGGAATCGCCGTGACGTTTGGGAGTCGTCGTGGCGTTCGGGAATCGCCGTGGCGTTGGCGACTATTCGCCCGTCTGAGGATTGGAAGGTCCTGGGCTCACGTCCTGACGAAGCCGCCCTTTTTCTTCTTTAAAAATGACCTTGACTCACAGGTGGACCCAGCCATGAGTGGGTACCAGGTGCAGTCCTGGCTGGGAAGTAAAGTCGCCGGTGTGATGCTGAAAACATCACCCACCAAGTGCCGATTAGTCTAATAAAAATATATGTTTAGCCCTATATTTCCAATACGCCTAAAGGCGTGGAAAAGGGACCTTCACTTTACTTACTTCATGACTTCAATAAATATGTTTTCAGATGGACCCTGCGAAAGGGTCGTTCGACCTTAAAAAGGGGTCGCGGCCAACAGGCTGAGAACCCCTGTGCTAATCCATGATTTATTACAGAACAGTTGGCACTCGATGAAGGATGTGGGAACACCACACCTGCCGCCGTTACTTGACTTGACACGGAGACCTGGTAAAGGCGGGAATCCAGAATTATTTACAAAATCTGACGGGGTGCAGATGAGAACTAAGATTTTTTTTATAAAGATGCGTGTCATCGAATAGCAGGCTATATATTATTCATGTAATAAAATTCGCCGGGGCACTTCTAATATCAGCGAGAAGTGAAATCAATTCAACTGCAATAAGACTGTGAAAGTACAGTAAACAGAAATTTACTATACCGGAGAGTAAAAGGGTTTATATTTTTGTGCTGAATAATGCTTTCTAGACGCAATGTTTATTGATTCACTAGTGGTTGTGTGGGATTACGGTGAGGGGTGTGACGGTAAGGGCTGACTAGCTTCATTGTTCGTTTTTCGTTTCTTTTTTACATTATTTTAACTTGCGTTAGGAGTTTTCATTTGCAGCATTTTATTTAGCAGCGATCTAGATTCTGCTCCCGAAGCCCTCCGATGCCTCCCTCCCTCCCTCCCCTATCTCTCTCTCACTCTCAGCTCATTAGTTTTTAGCACTTATGTCAGCCAAAATACAAGTTTAAAAAAAAAATGAACTGTATTGTCTTTATGCGGCGGCCTTGGCTTAAGCATTGAGAGTCCGACTAGTAATTCCAACGTAACGCGATCGAAACCCACTGTCGGCTGCGTGGATTTTTATCATGGTATTGGGGTGTCGCAGGTTGACCCCATCTAAAATGGGTACCAGGATAGCTGTCCTAGAAAAGTAAAGACGGCCGGCGTAATGCTGACCACATTACCAACCTAATGCCAATGGTCTGGAAAAAAAAAATGGCGTAAAAATGGGATCTTTACTTTACTTACTGTCCTTACGCATGATAATCTTTGTTCAATAACAATTACATTGGAAATATCGGAGTTTTACCAATCCAAATAAATAAATTTGCAGAATGCTGAATTAGAAATTGACATAACAGTACTCGGGACACTCCCATAAGCGTTCCGACCCTATCTTCGCCAACAAACGAAGAGTTCCAGCACCAGTAACTGTCTGACTGTATATCAGTCTCGCTTTTTCCTTGAGTGTTGAGCGTCTCCCAGATCCCCTGACCCCGCAGCACCATTCTCCGTAGACTGTAATGATGTATTTGTGCCTCCGCACTGTTTGCTCGCTCCTAAAGGCCCCTCACAACATCTAGCTTGTCATATATCAGTTCACCTCCTAGTAGTGCAGAACCAGCAGTCTATCTGCCTGCTCGTTTCCCAAAACACCGGCATCTCCTGGAATCCTGGAGAAAATACAGACATGTCGCTAACTATCCGAGGCATGTGAAGCGATGCTTGCCACTCTGCACGGAGCATGCTCTGTGAGTCAGTTACAATTACAGCCAGCGGGAGGCAGCTGTGACTGCCTCCACCTCTATTCCCAAACTAGTCGCTGTGATAACATTTGGCATGCTTAGATACATTTATATAAATAAAGAAAACTTCATTATGAAAATATATTGAAAAAGAAAAGTGTCATAAAGAAAACGTGTACAAAAACTAGTACAGTCACAGAAAATCGGCAATTAAGAAATGTTTTTAGGTACAATTGAAACGAAAATTTGTAATAAAGACAATAGTGCATTTACCACAAAGAAATGACTACATTGACAATCAAGAATTGATTTTAGTTGTACAAAAATATAACTGGCACATCCTTTACAGGACGTTGCGGTCTAACCAGAGCATTTGTTGGCTTTATAATTGTACACAGCAATTGTTTTGTTTCCGTAGTTTGCCATTGCTTTCTAAACATGTCGACGCTCATAACCTTGTGAAAATCAATGCAAAGCGGTCTGCCATTAAATCACCGGTAGCTGAGTTGGAATTCTATTACTCGGAATTATCAAACTGCTTTTACAATCCCTAAGCCACAGATACCAACTTAATGTAAAAAGCATGAAATAGGTCAAGTGGAGCCTACCTTGGTGCTGGGAAGGAAAATGTGCAAGAACACGAGGAACGGGTAGACACAAATGAACAGGGATGTCATGAAGAGACGCCTTGGCCAGCCCGCACGCTCCAACTTGCCCATACCATTGTACCAGGTACGGACCACTCTTTGCTGGCAACTGGGGTGGGCTATAAACTGTGGACAGTCAATCAAATACAACCAATCAACCAACCAACCAATCAATCAATCAATCAATCAATCAATCAATCAACCAATAAATCAATCAAACAACCCCTCAACCAATCAAACAATCAATCCACAAATCAATCAGTCAAGTGCTGTGTTCACACTGAGGCTTGGCTGTAAGGAACCTCTAGCACCATGGCAAATATTTCGACAACATAAAAAGACAAAACACATTTATAAGACACATAATGGAGTGGAAAGTTGAAGGCAAGCTAGCAAGAAGACCTCAGCGATACAAATGAGAAGACAGCATTAGGAGATTGGCGAAAAGCAACCTGGTAGTGTGTACTAAGAACATGTGGTCCAGGTGACTAGTCTAGAATTCCCTAACGTCACCTTCCACGTACGTGAAGCATTCTATTGTACCAGCCGCAATGTCATTTATGCCATCAACTGCAAGAGATGTGGCATGAAATACATTGGTGAAACAGGTCTTCGGCTGGCCGACAGGTTCAGACAACATTTTTTGGATGTGCAAAATGGTTCCCTGAAACCAGTACCGTTGCACTTCACTTCCCAGGATCACCAAGGTGTCCTCGACATGGAGGGGACAGCCATTAAATCTAGCCATTCCAGCGACAGAGTCCGCAAGTCTCTTGAGAATCGCTTTATTTATACTCTGGGGACTTAACACCCTCCGGACTGAATTGCCAACACAGTTTCATTTAAACTGTAAGGGCATGGAACTGCCCTCACAGTTTTATCTCCACCCCCCCCCCCCGCTCCCAGTCATGCCCCTGGTACTCCACATGGGGTATTTATTCCCCCAGCCGAAGCGTAGTTCCTTGCCTCTCAGGTGGCTATACTCCGACTTTGAAGGAAAACAGGAAATTCCTTTATTCGTCTACCTGGAGAGTCAGACATGTAACCACATATATAATTACACGTTTAGACATCATCATCATCATCGTTGATTTCCATTTCTGCCATCAAGTGTTCTGGGGAGGAACAGATTGCGATCCATTGCTTGATGAGCAGCATTGGCTATTATCATTCCGTGTAAGTGTAGAAGTTCTTTAACGTCACCAATTCATATTAGCCTAGGGCGGCCTCTTGATTTCACTCCAGATCTTTTCATATGTAGCGTCTGCGTTGGTAGTTGTTCTGACTGCATTCTTACAAGATGACCAAACCATTCGATCTTCTGTTTCTGATTGACTTCGCTGCCTGGTGTTGTTCCTACAGTCTGATATTATCATTTCTAACTTTGTCTGGGATGGTTAAGTCAAGAAATGCTGCATATCACATGACGATATTATGACTACGGATATGGGACTAATGGAAAGGTAGTTTGTCTGTCTGACAATAACAATACCGAGTAACTGAAATGCTCAAACTGCTTGCCGTTCACATAGCAGCAACGCTTTGAAAAGTCTGCAACCTGTAGCCATAATTGTGACTCACTCAGAAGCTTCAATGTTGCCCTGGCATTGTTTTGTTTTTCTTTCCAATTTTTAATGAGATATATCATAGTCATCATCATCATGTGCTAATAGTGAGCGTCAACTGTCATGGCTTGGCATCCCGCACGATCACTAGAATCACGAATCAAGTCAACATTCTTGTCTCATCCCATCCATATCGCAAACTCATCAAGGTATTTATTTCTTTACCTCCCCCTTGCTCTCGCTATTCCAATCTTCTCCAGTCATTACCAAGTTCATCAGTCAATTCCTTCCCATCAAATGCCAAGAAACACTGATCGTCTACATCTAACATTTCTCGGAAGTTTCTCAATTTCATCTGTCTCGATGAAGCATGTCTCGTTTTTTGTTTTATCATTCCATTAGATTTTCTGCATTCTTCTCAAAAACCATATCTCCGCTCCGAGTAATTGTTTTTGAGCCTGTTTGTTTATTGTCCAAGTCCCACATGTATGTAGCAGTGCAGACCTTTAGATTACTTAATACAGTAATGTAATCAATGTAACGTTTAACTACTCCATAAATTAGCTGTTCGGACGGCGTAACGTTGGCCACGTCACTAACCGAGGGCAAACTGGTCTATAAATATAGGTTTAGCCCTATATGCCCAGTAAGACTGAAGACTTCGAAAAGCCACCTCCTAACCCTCCCCCGCCACACCTTGTTTAGGTTTGCGAGGATGATAAATGTCGATAAAGGTTGTTTTGTTCCCTACTAGATTTGATTAATTGTTTTTGCTTCGCTGACTTAAATACTCGTATTTGGTGGATATTATTTCGCAATGTTTTAAGTCGGCACCGTCGTGTGTTTAGTACACTGAGTGTAAGAATCATGAATATATAGAACATTCGACTATAGTTCGTTGAATCTGGAGTGTACTCAAGGAGTCTATGCAACATTTATATTTTTCTCTCTGTGGTTTCACATCTTGGCTTAAGTGGCATGCGGTACAGTCTACTTGTCCCAATGTTGCCTTCTCTTCTTCTGCATTTTTGACTATGGGGAAGGAAGTACACAATGATGAATGCACACACAGACAACAGATTCAGCGATGTAGACGGATGGATGCCAAACCTTTTTCTCTTTGTAGTTCAATGCCAGCTTGAATCTGGCTAAGCTTTCATATTTCTCCTGGTGATGTTTGCCGGTTTTGTTCAAGACAAGCTCTAACTCCTTCTGGGTCCGGATGCGGTCGAGTAGCTTGACCACGTAATCACTCAGCTGATCGGCTAGATCTCTGTACTCCCGCTGTGAACAGAGAAACGAATCATCGTTACAGTTTATGCTACCACCAAACTACTGCTGTTGTACATCTACGAATAGTCAGTTTCTGTATTTGGTGTTCGCAAGCATGTAAAACATACTTGGTTAGTGTCTATGAGTGTAACATTTCTCGTTCTTTCCACACTTTGTTCCCCTATAATCACCAGCTCTACATTTTGCTGTGAGCAGGCAGTTTATTTATTTATTTATTGACACCTTTCCGTCTTTCCAGACAATAATGTTATATTGCGCTATGAGAAGGCATGAGACTTACAGCCCATGGCGATGGCGAGAGTGACTAGCAAGACCCGCCCGCGTTAAGTCTTCCACAATTATAGCGTCGAATTTCATGACACGGTCCTCTCCAAAGCACACAGTCAGTAGAGACCATATGTTGCCCATGCTTGGATCCCTCACTCGACCTGCCTTGTTTGCTTTAAAGGAAAGAGAACACCAGTAAGTTTAGAACACAGCAGGCTGCAGAAGCTGCCGCGTCAGAAGTGCAGTGCTCTACTGGTCCTCCTATCGGATTTTGAGCAGACAGTACTGAGGCACTTAAATGGGAAACAATTGACTGTGGAGTCGAAGACGCCATAATATTGAAACAGTTGCACAAGATGGAACGGAGTATAAGAATAAACTGCTAACCATCTGCGACGTATATCGGCACAATAGGCTAATGATGATGATGATAATAATAATGATGATGATGGTTAAGTAAAGCGGCAAAGTCCGATCGTCAGGTGTTTAAGTCCCTTAAGGTGGAGATTTTCAAATAATGAACCTAAACTGCCAAACGGACGCAGCTTAAAATACGTCATCATTATAACGTAGAATACTTTCCCAGGTGGGGAGACATATCTTTATTCTCTACATCTTGCGATTTAATTTCAAACCAAATTGTCTCTGTGTGTTATCTGGCTGACATCGTACAATGCCCTGTTAAAATGAGTACGGGAAATTATTATAGGAAGTAATGACAGCTGGCACGATATTCACCATGTCACCCAGAATGATGTTCACTGGCTCATACAAACAGAAGACTAGTAACATATGGCCAAGACGTTCAGACAAAATGTCCAAATTTGGCACATTTCTTCCAAGAATGTCTATTCATTCTGTTGTATGAGTGACTCAATTTCTCTCAAGAATGTCTATTCATTCTGCTGTATGAGTGACTCCATTTCTCTCAAGAATGTCTATTCATTTTGTTGTATGAGTGACTCCATTTCTCCCAAGAATGTCTATTCATTCTGTTGTATGAGTGACTCCATTTCTCCCAAGAATGTCTATTCATTCTGTTGTATGAGTGACTCCATTTCTCCCAAGAATATCTATTCATTCTATTGTATGAGTGACTTAATTTCTCCCAAGAATGTCTATTCATTCTGTTGCATGAATGGCTCCATTTCTCCCAAGAATATCTATTCATTCTGTTGTATGAGTGACTCCATTTCTCCCAAGAATGTATGAGTGAGTTTCTTCTCCCAAGAATTGTATTCATTCTTTTGAGTGACATTTCTCCCAAGAATGTCTATTCATTCTGTTGTATGAGTGACTCCGCAGACGCAAAAGTGGTTCATATACATATTTAGATCCCGCTAAAGCCACGAAGTTCGTACATACATGTATTGGTATGATTTTGTTTGGTCTACACGGTTGGAACTACCGTTCTCAGTAGTTGGCCAGCGGTTCTGAGGAGAGAGACCGAACAATATGGGATTGAAGGTTAAAGCAATAAACCCTGTATTGTAAGACAGTCTCATTATATATGTATGAATTCAGTAAACAGACATCCCCGTATTTTGTAAATGATTTGTTAACCTACGAATGAATGCCGTACCCAAAAATCCCCCAGTTTTGTAAGATTATTTCTCTATCTACGTATGAACATAATAACCTAACATCCTCGTGTATTGTAAGAGCACATTTCTGGGTGTGAATTCGGTAACCTTACAGTAAGAAGTGGCTGCGCTAATCTACCATAGCCTGTCCTGATACAATTGATTGACACTGTTTCATAATACAGCACAATTTGCGAAGTTAACAGATTTGATATCACAGCACATAAATCAATAAAACAGGTGCCGTGTCCACAAATGAGTTGGCTTTAATGATCTCCATTACAATGCTACTTTTGTCCAAGTTCCAAGTTACTCACTGTAATTGCTGTTCATCTGTCCGTTGATTTTATCCTCCTATATTATCGCATCTACTTCTTGCTCTTTTGTTTTCAACTTTTCACCCCAGCGTGGATTTTTATAAGAGGTTTATGTCTTTTTTGTAACGTAACTTAAGTATTCCATTTTCCTTAAATATGTTTTGATTAGCAGCTCTACTTTCCTTATGAATCTCTTAAGAACTTATGCATCTGATTTTGTTTCCACAAAATACGACTAGTTCTTCCGTATGTTCACACCTCTAGAGAGACGCAGTTCCTCATAATTAGAACCGTTGATCGTTCTTGTTTCCATGAAAATACGACTCTTTCACCTGTATGCACAAATTTCCAGAGACTCAGTTCGACTAACCAGTTAGAACTTCACATATCTACAAACATCCCACCTTAAAATGTTTCTCTACTCGAGACAATCTCCTTAGCTCCGCCGCTAGCTCAAATGCTGTCAGAATCGGATCTTTACTGGACAATGAAATATAAGCCTCACTAGCCAGACCCCTGTAGGCGTTCAGTCTGTACTTAGCCAATCGAAGCTGATCAAACTTCATTCTGTTGCGACATTCCTTGAAAAAAAAAAGGGTAATGATAACAATTACAAAACAACACTTTCCCTTTATAAATTTAAATAGAAAAGGCATACAATATATTACCGAATTTATCGCCTACCGTGTTAACTGGCGGTTATTAAATTTGGCAGAAGCAGTTAAAGTTAGGTCGGGCAACTGCGTGATTTAAAAAAAAAAAATGATTTCATGGTTGATCTCAAACTTCCGTGGTAAGCACGTAGTTACTCTTTGACTTTCTATGTGTCCAGTGTAGCAAGAAGCAACGTGGTACGTGTATTTTTGTTCTTTGAAACGATTCATGATATGCGCTTCCTTATGTGTTACTGTACCTGACGAGATTCAGTGAAACGTGCCTGGCAGTATTGTGCTTTTGTCCCCATTATTTAAATGCCAATGATTCCAAACAAAAAAGACATATTTCTTGATGGTGACTTGATCAAATCATTTATGGCTAAATTATCAATAGTTTGATATTTAAGTGGTAATTATCTTTGATAAAGTCTCAAATTAGCATTCTTCAGTGATCAGTTTCTAACGTATGTCCTGTCTCTTTCTAGTTTTAGTGATCTTTGAAAGAAAAAATTACTGAAATATACAACGCTTCTGTCAATTGCACAAATGAGGAATGCTGTGTTTTTTGTTTTATATTTCTTCCAACAACTACACAGTAATATTTCACGATTATAAAGTATACAGACATGAGGCTATTACTACAAGCTCATCCTGTAGCAAGACGTAGATACCTATTCTTATCTAATCTGATGAGGCATGTGAAGCCAGACTTAATAAATACGAGCCAACTAATTCATAACTAATGCATTCCGAATTGTTTCGTTGAGTCCAAGCATGAGTTTTGATGATTCAGTATTGATGCATTCGCGAAAAGTATAGTAAAGAAAATGTATGCCATTCAGTAATGATACACCCACATGTGTTGCTTACGATCAGTATTATCAAGTCTGACATTCATGAATGAGACATGAAAGCATTTATCTGCCGTATAGGCACTGGTCTAGCACAGTGACGTGATACATCACACATTTACCAACCTGACAACCACAACTAAACTTGTGAGGTTTCATGATGGTTTCTCCCCGAAGTAGCAACAGCTGAACAATCTCATACTGGTTTTTCTGGGAGGCTAGAATTAATGGTGTTATGTCGGGAGAAAACTGGGAGTCTGGAAAAGCTGTTTTATAGAAACCGTCTGTGGAAAGAGATAAATAAAAACACGTTTCTTCAAACGATCACAGTGGTTGATGTACGAGTCCAAAAACGGCAATTTTTACAAATGTGTTTTCATTTAGCTTGTCCATGGATCTAAGCCATATCTTCTTCTTCGCGTTTACCGGCGGTTAACTCCAACGGAAAGTCCTGAAAGTTCGTCACTTTTGTCCAGGACTTAAGTTTTGAGCACACATCCGTTTTACAAATCTGGCTTATTTGTGTGGAGACTGTGGGTTCCTCGCCTGTCAATAAGAAGGGTACTATATTTTTTGCGTACCCCTGACGTCACAATGACGTCACAGGAGACATTCCCAATAAATTCTAGGGTGTTCAGGTTGTGGTTTCTCGCGGTTTCTCTACATCCAAGTTGTTCACATCGCAAAAGCGCGCTCTTGCAAAGCGCGCCTTTACTATGACGTTCAGTGTTGCCACTTCGGATATTTTACATCCACATTTAGATGTTTTTCCTTCCATTTAAATGTCTTTTTGACGTTTAAATGGTAGATGCTTTTCTAGATTCTTTTCATATGTTTTTCCTTCCATTTATATGTCTTTTTGACGTTTAAATGGTAGCTGCATTTCTAGATGCTTTTCATAAGTTTTTCCTTCCATTTAGATGTCTTTTTGACGTTTAAATTGTAGATGCTTTTCTAGATTCTTTTCATATGTTTTTCCTTCCATTTATATGTCTTTTTGACGTTTAAATGGTAGATGCATTTCTAGATGCTTTTCATATGTTTTTCCTTCCATTTAGATGTCTTTTTGACGTTTAAATTGTAGATGCTTTTCTAGATGCTTTTCATATGTTTTTCCTTCCATTTAGATGTCTTTTTGACGTTTAAATGGTAGATGCTTTTCTAGATGCTTTTCATATGTTTTTCCTTTTTTTCCTTTTATTTAGATGTCTTTTTGACGTTTAAATTGTAGATGCTTTTCTAGATGCTTTTCATATGTTTTTCCTTTTATTTAGATGTCTTTTTGACGTTTAAATGGTAGATGCTTTTCTAGATGCTTTTCATTTGGAGTCAAATATTTTTTTTCTTATGGTAGATGTTTTTTTTAGATTCTTTTGATTTGAGTTGAATATTTTTTTTCCAGTTATTATTGTTTTTTCTTTCAGTTACTCAAACTTTGAACTCTCACTGGGGTCAAAGCTCAAATATCTGGCAGCCCCGGTACTGATTAATTAAAAGGGTGCGCAAATCACACTTTTGTTTCAACCGTAACCTCACTGTGCTAACTTTGTGTTTCTTTTTCATGTGATTTAAAAAAAATAATTGCTCACCTTCCTATGTGGCTTTCACTTTGAATAAACATTTCAATATGCTAAAAGTAAAGTATGAACAAAAAAATATTGGCAGTTCCCGGGGATATCACCAAAGCTCGTTGTAAGTACTTTCATAAATCGCACAAACCACGAACGACGTAGCGCCAGCAACTGTCAAATCATTATTTGTTTCGTTGCCGGCCTGGAATTGCTTAACATAAACAATCCATACAGACGTTTATCTCACATTGCAGATCTAAGCCATGTTTTACAAGACGACGTAATGTGCTGAACGATCGCTCCACAGTACATGTTGTTGCTGGTAATGTTAGCAAAAATAGTAACACATACCTGACACTCAGATAAAACTTTGTAAAAGGTACAAGTCGATAAAATCTTGTCTACTTCTGCATTCTCGCGTTTTCCCTCCCCCGTGTGGGTTCCGGGGCCCTATTGTGGGGAAAACAAGAATAGACCCACTGCCTCCCCAAAAGCATGTCGTAAAGTCGACTAACTGGGGAACTTCCTTTGAAGTCGGAGTGCATCTGCCTGAGAGGCGAGGAACCAACAGTCTGCATTCAATTGAATCAGATCTGTAAAACTGATGCACACGCAACACTCATGTTCTGGAGCATGGCTGCAGTCCAGAAGTGGATGAGCAACCAGAACTTTACGCCAGAGTGTTCAGCTGGTGAACGCGAAGAAGAAGAAGAAGAAGAAGAAGAAGAAGAAGAAGAAGAAGAAGAAGAAGAAGAAGAAGAAGAAGAAGAAGTTTCAAAATTATCAATGTAGTATATCTGAATAATAGTAGACATTATATCGTTAAACTTTTTACGATTCAGTTTGCACAATTTTGAAGGATGTAGCAACGCTAAGTTAAATTGTGCACTGTTGGCTTCACAGAATCGACTCTCAGTTGAGTTAATTAGAGAATCTAAGTATGGAATGTAAACAGTTTGAAGTACTCTTCAACACTTATGGTTCCCGGATTACTTCGATACTTTTGTCTTCCACTCTGTCTTGGGATAATCAGCTCAGTATCCACTTTCTGTGCGAGTTGTAGTGTTTTCACAAAAATATCCCTGAAATAGTTATCGGAATCACCTCGGTGAAGTTTTACTACACTGAGCAGGTTTTGAACTTGCAGTTGGACTTCTGGAAGATCAACTTGAACAGCTAGAAGAGCCTGAGTAACTGGTTCCAAGTCTTGAGAAATAATATTGAGACAAAATAAAAACGTGCTGGACTTTGATGAACAATGTAACTGATGTGCAGCCTGTCGTGTATTTCCACTTGCATGCATTGAAAATGTTTCCAGTTGGCAAATTTACTAGAAAAAATCTGAATACTTTTATACTTGCTTGTCCATCTTGTCTCACACAGAATAGGAATATTTGGGACAGAGGACCTCCTTTTTGGGCTTTCACGAAAAAAATGTAATAATTGCTTTGATAGTACTAATAGTATTTCGTATCAATGCAACATTATTAAGATCATTTTCAACGAGATTCAGTATATGCGAGGCACCGCGAACAAAGGCAGCCTTGGGGTAAATTCTTCGAATTTTTCGCCTGAACACCATTTTCTTTTCCGGCCATTGTCGAGCACTCATCATAACCTTGACCCAGCAGATTATTAAGGAGAAGACCAAATGTTTTGCAATGTAGAATAATACAATCAGATATCGTGGCGGCGTCCATACCTTTCAGCGGAGAAAATCCATGGAATTCCTCACGAATCATAGCCTTCTCTACAAACCGGACTCCCAGTGATAACTGTTCTGCTCCTAATATATCTGCTGTTCCATCGGCTATGATCAAGAATCCAACAGCATTGTTAGCAGCTTTTACAATGTCTTCTCGCAAAGCTTATTCAGACAAATTAATCAAACCATTCTGCGTTCGATGTGATGTGTAACGTGCATTTCCAGCAGTTGTATCAAAATGGTTTTTTTTTTTTTTAAAAATACTGTCTCCTCCCTCAATTCGATACGTATAAAGTTGTTCGACATTTCCTTTGGTGCTATCTTTCCCACGAATTGCCAAATCATTTGTTCCGCAAAATAAGATTGTTGAAATAAAAGGATACAGGTTCTTTCTGTTTTCTTCAATAGTTCGTTTTACGGAGTTTCATCTATCTGACAAATAATATCCTTTAGAAGGAGTAGTAATGAAGGCACCTTGAATTCCCTAACTACTTTGAGCGAATCGAATCTGGGAGTTCAATGTCCTAGGTTAACATAGTATCTCCACTTTCAAGTTTGTCCGGGTCTGATTCTGGTGATAGCGTTGCTGCTGCAGATTCTGAACAAGCAACAGCATTCGTTTTTTTTTTTTTCAATCAATCCAGGGCAAATGCCCCCCCCCCCCTTTTCCCCTTGCGTTCGCCCATGGTTAAGAGATGGAGTTTTATGTCGGGGGGCACACTTACAACGACCTGTACAGACAGTAGTGACCGTTTTTGTGTTGTTGTTGTGACGGTGGTGGTGGTAGTGGTAGCAGCAGTAGTACTGGCACTCTAAGGGTGATGTGGTAGCTGTTACACTGGCCACATTTACTTTTCGGTACAGATTAATGCTACACATTTTAGTCATATTAATAGCTATGTAATTTGTGACTCTTCCCGTTTGGATTTTTTTTTCTATATGTTTTCCACGCAAATTTGGATATTTTAAGATCTTTTTTGACTCCATTTTGGATGTTTTTGTCAAAGAAAAGTGTCAACATTGATGACGTATGTTTACCGCTTTTTTCCGGCGTCAGTCAGTTGCCATTGTTTCCAGCAGCAGTCACGATGAATTTTCTACAGCTAGTTGCATCTGTACAAGACAAAGAAAGCAGCATTGCCTTCCTGCAACAGCATGGCATTCTGCACAGAACCAGAAGTTTCAGAAACAATCACTCCATTAATTTTGTCGACCCCACCACAGGTGCTCATACGCAATGCATCGAACGTTTGTGGAGGTCGGCAAAGGAGAGAAACAAGCGCCAGAATGGCACCCACAGACATTTATTAGAATCTTACATGTGTGAGTTTCTGTGGCGCAGGCGCGCTCAACGTGCGGGTGGCGACATGTTTGAAACCATACTAGCAGACATTGCTAGATTCTGGCCCCCGAGAGACTACTAGTCCGTCGTCTCTTCTGCCACCGCAGTTTGACCTCAGTTCAGATCTACTAACGTGTACAATCTCTGTGATTGTCAATTCGTGCGTGAACCCAGCAGTATTCATGTAGAATGATTGGCCCTTTTTAGGGCCCCCCACAGTACCCCAATTGGCATTTCCTGCGATTGCACATAGAGTTCACATAGCCAAAGTGCACATTTTACAACAAAAACACACACACGCACGCACGCACGCACGCACGCGCGCGCGCACGCACACACACACACAATTTACATTTCATTTAAAACACACAATTTACATTTTATTTAAAAAAAAACACGCACACGCGCACGCAAGCACGCACGCGCGCGCACGCACACAGACAATTTACATTTCATTTAAAACACACAATTTACATTTTATTTAATAAAAAAACATTGTGACAACAAAAACACACACAATTTACATTTCATTTGAAAAAAAAAAAAAGAAGGAAATTCACAATGGATCACGTCGGTATTGAACACGGCATCTTTCATTTACAAGGCAGATGTGATACCAACTACGCTATGCACTCACATGTTGACATGTTATGAAAACATAACTAATATTGCAGACCGGCCAATTGCGCATCATCAAACAGCCAAATGCGCATCAACAAACCGAAATATGTCGCACCATAAGACACTAGATGAACACTCAAAAACAGCAGCAGACAGCAGCACACTTGCACCCCTTGAAATAATGGACTGTCAAGTCAGCTGTGGAATTCCCACGGGAATTTCGTGTTTGGGGGAGGCAAAAAATATTGTACCATAAGAAGCACTCCTATTTCGCAGGATAGGTCGCTTCTGTCTTCCTTTGCCGTTTGGGGAACTTGTTTCTAGGATGACCGCGAAGAGGTCAGGCAGGTCTTGACCAGTCTAAGTCCGTTCTGGTGGCATCATACGTGTGGTCCAGCAGCTCGGATCCTAATTCGCCATATAATATTGAGCAAACATGGTTATTTGCGTATCCCTTTACAGGACGATGCAGAACCAACCGCAGTATATTTTTTTTTTTGTTGCTCTTGTGGTTTTTCTAGGCAAATTTGCGTCTTTAATTTGCCATTGCTTGCTGGACGGTCGGCTTCTCGATACCAGTATCGAAAAAAATCGCAAGGCACAAGGCCAGCAAATGGGATCCAGCCCGGCACCCCGGCATTAAGGAGCGCGTTCACAACGCCTACGCCACAGATGCTGACAAACAACATGTGGTAATTCTCACATGATAGCTACTGGTATAATAATGAAATGAATTTCCTAGACTTTAATTTTAAACATTGTGTAAAAATATTTGTCAGAAAGCATCCACATTTCTATTTACCACAAAATACTTAGCATCATATGTAAGTAAAGAACCCTTTTCCACGCCTTTAGGCGTATTGGGCATATGAGGCTAGATCTTTAATATATAAGCCGATCGACATACGGTGGGTGATGTGGTCAACATCCCGCCGGTTGTCTTAACTTCTCGAGACTTTAATGGTACCCATTTAATGCTAAGTCGATCTGGAAGCCAAAGACCTTTTTATAAAATTCCGGCTTTGTTAGGACCTGAACCCACGACCTTTCTATCCGCAGACAAGCGTCTAGCTGCTACACCACAGCGGCACCTACAGCATCACACATGGACAGATAAAAAAAAAAAAGGAAAGCTACCTGTGTCGCCAAGCTTCCTTCTCTCCTTCCACATCTCCAGATAGCGCCGATGCTTCAAGATGGTTTCTGCAATCTGTGTGTGGCCGGCACTAATGGCTTGTAGGACTGCTTCATGGATGTGATGCTGGTTCGACTTGTCCAGCAAAACTTCAACAACCTGGTGTGTGCATTAATAGATACACGATGTTAACGTGGGTATTTTACTTCATGACATAATACATAAAGCAACTGGGTGCAGCCGTTGAAAGAGCTTCGAGAATGGCTGGCTACGCAACGTAACCGCGTGGGGGATAGGCCTAGGTAGACTGGTCCGAGCCTTAGAAAAAAAAATTTAATCAGTGAAAGCCAGAGTGTCCGATCAACGTCTATCCGTGTTACTCTACCCTCTGAGATTGAACAGGTGGATACCGGGCCGAAACAATTGTGGACGATGGACCTGTCTTCTGATGATCGGTAGACTCCTGCTGTGCTTGCTCCCGCTGTGGAGTTCTTCTTCTTAATATTGACTGCCCCCCAACAAGCATGTTGTAAGACTCGACTTATAAGGGATGTTTTCCTTCGAAGTCTGAGAGCATCTTTCTAAGAGGCGGGGGACCAACAGTCTGCATACAAATAATCTGTAAACGGATGTGCACGTAAGATTAAAGTTCTAGAACACAACTGGAGTCCAGAAGTATATGAACAAGCAAATCTTTTCGCTGGAGTTACCATCCGGTGAAGAAGATAGTTATTTAGCTTGAAAAAGTCTTACAGTGAACTAATTCTTTAGCGCCAGTTTCGCTGTCCAAGGATTTCGATTATAACTGCATTCGTGAAATGAACGGCATGGCCCGTAAACGATTTCTCGATCTTTCACAGTCAGGTAAACAGATCAAACACTGCCCCTGTAGGAAGGAGGTTTGTCGTTCAGTGAGGGGGAGAAACCGAGAGATATGGGAGACAACCGAGTGTAGTGACGTCGCTCCTCTCGACTTCTAGCCTTTTCATACTTTTAAGAAAATTTTAAAGTCGAGAGAATCGACTTCATTGTACTTGACTTCATCCTATCTGACTCAGTCTCGTTGCCCTCCATCAGCGTTTTTCTCCAGAGCTCCATGACATTTAATATGGTCAAAACACCCCAGCTGTCGGGACAGCATACTGTTGATGAGCCAGTTCTCCTCGACGTTCTAATCCTGTAGTATGTCGATGTTTTTCTTCTTCTGGGTCCACTGGATTCTAAGAATTTTTCTATAACATTTCAATTCAAAAGCTCCCTTTTTGTCTTCGATGATTGAGTAAGAGTCCATGCCTCACAGCTTTAAGTAGCCATGGAAAGATACATAATCTCAGAAATAATATTTCAGCTCGTTCACATGTGTTGTGGCATAAGTTCTTCACGCTGTTCCATCTCTGCATTGCTAAAGCAAATCTTTTTCTGATCTTTTTGGCGCAGGCCAGTTGTTATATACTGAGCCTAGATGGTCAAGATTTGTGACATTTTCGATGTCATCATTATTGATTTTAGTATCTCGTATTTACTGATGAATTTATTGTGCACATTATGTTTAAAAAATGGGATTAAAAATAAATTCACCTTTTGACTGTTAACGGTCACAATTAATTAAAGAGAACTGTAACTGTATCATCTGCATATCTGAGTCCAGGTTTAGGTTGGCCTCCAATTGTGAGTGTCAGAGACCTCATCAATAATTGCATTTCTCATAATATTTTCAGCATATATGTTGAAAAGGGATGGAAAAATAATGCAGCAGTATAACAATCCTCTCTGCACCTTAAAACATTATGGTATTTCACCAGCTACTCTGACTGCTGCTGGTTATTCATTGTAAAGAAATTCCGCTAAATGTACCATATGTGTTGGAAATCCCATGTCTCTCATTATGTGTCACAGCTTCCTGTGTTTAACAAAATCGAAAGCCTTGCAGTAGTTTTTGAATCATGTATGAAGATCTATCTTGTATTATCTACACTTCTTAAGGATGATCTTTAAATTGAAAACATAGACCATTATTCTCATGCACCGTCTAAAGCCTACGTGTTCTTCTTGTAATTTTGATAATTCGATATCATTGAGTCCTCTCTCTTCATGAAGACTAAGAGTAAGATTTTACACACAGTGCATGATATATATCGACACTGGCTTCTTCTCCCACCCGTATTAACTATGCCTGTATGTCATCGCAGAAAAAGACATTTTCCTTGTTTTTCAAACTGTAGTTTGCTGCTCTTACTTCTAATAGAATCTCAGATTCTTTCTCTTTAACTTCTTCTGCCCCATCTGGCCTGTTTGTTGTATCTTTGTACATTTCTCTCCAATACATCTTCCCCGTCTCTTCAAGTATTGCTTTTTTTTTTTCACCTTTAAAATATTATCGTTTTTGCCATTTATGACATTTTATGATCATTTGAATTTATATGTTAACAGTTACAATCTCTTTAAGTATTTCTTGGCCTCAACCCTGTTAATGTAGATTTTTTAATTTGTTTTAGCCGTACAAACATATTTCATGAAAATAAATGTATAAAAACAATGAAATATTCCTTTTTACCTCCAAATGCTCATTTTTGACCGCAAGACGCAGGGCAGTGCGTCCTAGAGCATCAATACAATCAACGTTCAAGTCCGGATAGTCGGTGAGTATTCTCTTCACATTGGGGATGTCTCCAAACTCTGCCGCATGCAGAAATTCTTCTTCTATGTCAACGAACTGAAAATAAAAAGTATACAGTTTAATATTTTATACCGATCTATTATCACTTCAGAACTTAACCCTATGACCAGAAGGTACAACCTTAAACATTCTGCAAGTTAACTCTATTGTTTATAGTTTACGAAGTTTGTGTATTGTGCTGGTCTGATTACAGTTTATAATTTATTCCAGGCAAGTCCAACTAGAATATACAACTCTTATTGAACAGATATTGGAAATGACATACGAAATCTGGAAAACCCCAGTTAGTTTTTCTCAGCCCAAAATGTAAAGCACGTATCATGAACGAAGATGTGACAGAAGCGAATAGGAGCCTCTGTTCAGTTAAAACTAGGATATTTTCAGTCAACAGATAATTTGCATTGTCCCGTTGGACGTCGTGCTTGATTAAAAGTATTATTCCTATTTCATTAGAGTGCAAATGCATTAAACAGGCATCTGAGTTTAAATATTTGTTAACAACTGAAAATGGGAAACTGGATAAAGGAATAAACACAAGATACACTGAAGTATTTGGACAGCTATGCCCCCTACCACCCCCCCCCCCCCCCAAATCACTGACCCGCAATCTCCATTTACAGCATAAGACAATCTCAATGAGCACAAAGAAACATTTCATTGAAATCATAATCATTCCCCCTCTATGCTACCAGTGCTAGTCGTGGTCACTCACAACAAACCATACAGGACAATTTGTAACCATGGAAATGAGATTTATGAGAAGTGCTGCAGGATCGACCAGCAGAGATAAAATCAGAAATGAGCCCATAAGAGAAAGATTCGACACGGAAACAATTCGAAATTACACACAAAGAGAGCAAATTAAATGGTGTGCCAACTTAGAGAGAATGCCTCACCATACAAGGTATACTACACCAAAAGAGAAGAAGGGCGCTGAGCACAAGGTTGACTAAGAACAAGGTAAAAAGATAAATTCACAGAAACTACAACAGCACGATGTGTCTGTGATCAAGGCGACCAGTAGCTCAAGAAGCAGAACCGTTTATCTCCATCGACATCCGAAGCGGTACTAGACGAAGTGTAAAAAACTAACGACTGTTAGTGATACACCGACACACGTCCCACACACACTAGACTACAAGTTACGTTGTAACGGTTTTGCAGCGCTCCTTTTCAATATAACTGTGCTATTTGGCAATTTCTTAAAACCTCGGAAATGTGGGTTAACAAAAGAATCCGTAGAATTCATTGAACAGCCAAAACGACCAAACCAGATGTTTTGAAAAAGGCGTGCAATGAAGACAAGTTATCACATATAGAAAGGGACATTGGTAAATTTTTGGTCATCTGATGAAAAGAAGGAAACTGGAATATGTTGTGACCACCGGAAAGATCTGAGGAAAAAGAGACAGAGGAAGGCAACGCGAGACGATTATTGACAGCATTTTATAATGGTGACGCTCTTTATAGGCTGCGAAAGAGGCCCATATATGTAGAAGCCGTGGTTTTCTGTATTTGTCTGCGCCTTTCGGGTGGCTTGGGTGACTGATGTATTCATTTGTTAGCAGGTTTGAGCTATTCTATTTATTTTCTTCTTGCCTAATCATCCCCTCACCTTGTTCCCAGATATCCTGCAGTATATGCAGTTTTGCCGGACGAGAGAGAGAGAGAGAGAGAGAGAGAGAGAGAGAGAGAGAGAGAGAGAGAGAGAGAGAGAGAGAGAGAGAGAGAGAGAGAGAGAGAGAGAAGCGGCCACACAATAGGTGGTGTGGTCATACTGACCACTTTCAACTTCTGCGAACATTTTCTCATAACCAGGCATCAGGGAGCGAGGAGACGTGAAGAAATAAGAGAAATGTCGGGACAACCACTAATATCAACAGTTATAAGAGGGAGCAGACGGAGCTGTAGGGGACACATTCTGAGAAGTTTCGAATAGACAATTGCCAAACAGGCACTGAAATGAGAAATAGATGACTGAGAAAACGAGGTCTTCCAAGAGAAGCCTTGAGGCGAACGTGTGATGAGACCAGCCAAAGGTACTCGGCCGGATTGCAACCATGATATCAAAGTGATTACAAATGATAGAAATAATATTTGTACAGACCAATTGGCACTAGGTGGGTAATGTGGTTAGCATTACGTCGGCCGTCTTTACTTCCCTATGACATACATCCTGGTGCTTATTTAAGGCTTGGTCGACCTGCGACGCCCCATACCATGATAAAAATTCACGCAGCTTTGCAGATAAGGATTTTTATTTGTGTCCCTGACAGGAAAAGGGGAAAAAAAGAGGAGAAAAAATTCTATACCGTACTGTGGACCGAACCCGGGTCTACCACATGAAAGTCCAAAGTTCTAACTATTGGACCACCTGCTCCTGTATGTGATGAGGAGGTCTTAAATTGGAGTACGTCGACAATGGGAATATCAACGCGGAACGGAACTAAACGGAGAGAAATGATGCTCGTATCATGAAAGGAACACCTGAATCAGAAATAACTGTCAGTACACATGCCAGAATGCTGTGGACAGCCATGATTTCCCAGACCCCATGAGATGGACTATAAGAAGAGGAGCCTACACTAGATATAGAACTTCTTCTCTTCTTTCTTCAACATTTTTGCCAGTTTGAGGTCATCCGGCAAACAACGTTTTACTGGGCAAATATAGTTTATAGGGTTTATAGTGATTAATGTCCAATTGCCTTAGTTGCTCAGCAATATTTGATTCCACTGCCCGTGTATAATCTGTTTTCTCTCATTCACAGATAATACGGGTGTATTATATCTCCTGTTCATTTGCGATTCTGTTTGAGTCTGCGTGCCGTGTTGCATCTTCGGTTACCATATTCTTTTCGGTGTGAACATTTTTTCTTTCTTATATCTTTTGTTCTCATTTACTGCTGTTTGTACCCGCTCTCTCGTATATCTTAGTTTCTCATTTGCTATTCTGTTTGAACCATATCATCGTTTTATCTCTCGTGTTCACCAGACCTGACTGTTTCTCCTTTCGGGACAGCTACATGAGAGGTTCAACAAATGCTTTACATATATCTCCCGAGTCTATAGGTTTATGCGAGACAGTTAGATCAGTTTCATAAACAAAAGCACAACTGCATCATCATCATCCCTTTCATTACCACCACTAACATGGCCCTTGTCAAATGGTGTAAGATGTGTATTCTCATGCAGATCTCAACCCTTCTGTTGTGGATCACGCCCATTGATCTTCTTTTCTCTACTCCTGAGATGCGTCGCTGCGTCAGAGCAGGAAATTATCTTTGGAACGGGCCCTTCTGTTCGCTTCATTTAAAATACTTTTCAGTGTCTGATATTTCTGCGGTCCATGTTTTGTATGGTTGACATCTGGCTCTGTAAAGTTGTATCCGTATAACATTGCTCTCTGTGGTGCCCTCTAATGCCAGTCTTGTGACAAGGCCAAACAATTTCATTTGTTGTCGACCTATAAAGTCTAGTATTAGTTCTGTGTCGAGTCTCTTCCTGGTTTCATTGTTCCCCACTGATAATATCCATATATGCATCTGGGGGAGGGCATGAGGGGTTGGGGTGTCATCAACCGGCGGTACCTCTGGTTCGGTGGACCGTCATGCCCTTTTCAGGGTAGTTCACCAACCATTGGACCAATGGTGACATTTAGCTCTCTTCCTTGGCTCCTAGTAGCTGGCACCCCTGGGCAACAGCTTTGACAGGCTGGCTAGACCAGGAGAGGCAGCCGATCAGCCCAAACTGATCGGCGAGTTAGGGAATGCCTACCCAGCATGCAAAGTCTGGATTCGGTAGACTGTGCGGATGAAACCACCTTGGCTCAACGGACAAAGGGGCGACCACCAGCAGGTTCTTTGGAGAGACTTTAGCACGCCAAGGCACCTAAGAAGCCCTGGTCATCCACTGCACCCGAGTTTATCTCCGGACGTTTTGATTCGTCTTGCCATTGGACTTTGATGAACTTGGGCGAGAGAGTGAGGTCGACGAATCGCACAACTATTCCTAACTTAAATTAAAATCACCCCGAAAGTCATCCTTTTATCCACTCTTCAACCTTTATCACAAGACAAGATCCCTGACACTGAAGTCCTTGACAGGGCTGCCCTGTTCAGTATTTACTCGATTCTAAAAAGATCTCAGCTTCGCTAAGCCGGTCATATAGTCCGCATGCCTGACCACCGACTGCTAACAAGAATTTTGAATGGTGAGCTACTAAAAGGATAAAGCTCTCAAGGAAAAGAGAAGAAACGTTTCTAGGACAACCTCAAGACTTCATTAAAAATCTTCTGTACTGATCTTCAAACCTTGGAAGTCGCTTCATGTGACCGTTCATCCTGGGGCGCCTCTCTTCATCGATGAGCTGTGGTCCTTGAAGCTGCTTGAACTGCAGCAGAAATTCAGAAAAGACAACACAGGAAAGACACTGAAGCAAATCCCCGGAGAGACGCGGCTTCAATACACTGTCCACACTACTCAAGAACTTTCAGTGCAAGAATTAGCCTTATCAGCCATCTGCGCACTCACAAAACCTAATGCGGTCACCATTTTATAAAAGGATAGATCATCATGTTGCCAGATCACCACATCCTCGTCCTAACATGGCCACCAGAAAGTGTTCTGTGAGACAAAGATGGTCACACATGGAGTCAGCCATATAGCCAGCTCACCACATCCTCGTCTTAACATGACCACTAGGAAATGTTCTGTGCGATAAAGATGGCCACACATGGATTCAGCCATGTAGCCAGCTCACCACATCCTCGTCTTAACATGACCACTAGGAAATGTTCTGTGAGACAAAGATGGCCACACATGGATTCAGCCATGTAGCCAGCTCACCACATCCTCGTCTTAACATGACCACTAGGAAATGTTCTGTGAGACAAAGGTGGTCACACATATAGCCACATCACCATCATCACCTGTGATGGACGAACAACAAAAACAGATGCAACCAGCAACATTTCTCTTCACAGCCATTTTCTTGGATGATGCTCCTACGGGTATCACTTCTAAAACATCCCACATTTTGCTTGGTGTTGTGAATGATAGCTGATTAGGTGATTATCCTACAAGCATCTGAAATATTCAGCACAATTTCTCTTAGTGTCATGAGTCTTCTCCCTCTTCTTAGCATGTACCGGCTGTGAGCTCTGGCAGAAAGTTCTGGCAGCTCGTCCACCTTTGGACTTTACTCTTGTTCCATAAGTTGAGTTTTGCGCGCATATTCGTTTTACAGATCTGGCTTATTTGAATCCAGACTGTTGGTTCCTCATCTCTCAGGCAGATGCACTCCGACTTCGAAGGTAACTTCTTAATTGTCGCCTTTTACGACATGCTTATCAAGGGATAGTAAATCTATTCTTTCCACCTCCCGCCAGTGAGGCCCCGAAACCCACGCGGAAGTGTCGTGAGTCAATTGTTTTGATAATGTCACCACATTTCCCTTTTTAAAACACTATATTAAATGTAATTATCAGAGATGTGGGTTTATAAAAGATTGACAAGAACATCAAGGACAGACATAAAAGCTCAAAGAAGATGCTTTACGGGCGAAATACCTTTAGGTGAATATCATGCACAGTTTATGGGCCATGAATATTATCAAAGGCTAATGACATACAAGCAAGTCCTGTCAGAGAAGAGATGCACACAGATCACAATCTGTGTCTCAACTGACATAATTTCTCTGATGTTGTTCGTCGATCTGATTGATTATATTAACTGGCTCATAGTCTATCTCTTGCAGTTGTGGTAGCAATCTGTTGATGATATTTATAACATTCCTCCTGTCATCATCAGAGAACCGGCGTGGTGTAACGGCTAGACACTCACATGCGGATCGGAAGGTCCTGGGTTCGGGTCCTAACGGAGCCAGACTTTTTTTAAAAATGACCTTAGCTTCCAGGTTGACCCAGCCTTAAGTGGCTATCGGGTAACATTCTGGGAAGTAAATGCGGCCGATGGGATGTTGACGACATCACCCACGAGTGCTGATTTAACCTAAAAAAGTATCGGTCTATCTCTATATGCCCAATACTCATGAAAACGTTGAAAATGGTTATTTACTTTTACTGTTACATAGGCGATCATGTCTCTCAAAAAGCTGCTATACAGCATGTAACAGTCTGTGTTCTGACACCCTTCCAAGCTATGAGTACATTCTCTCATAGATGCATCCATCTTAACATCTAGAATCATCTCTCTCGACCTGCCTCTTATGCTGTTGATCTTCTTCTAAGCAGTTTCAATGTTCAGCAGTGGTTCTCTTCTGCTCGGAAGAACCAAAAGCACTTATGATATTTTTCTTATAGTTGCTTAAAACACTATCATTTTACTAGTGATTTCCCAGCCGCTGCTGTTTGTTACTCTGGAAAGGGAAGAGCTCCTGTCAAAAGGTTTGCCAAACCGTTTGGGTAGGTACCGGCCACGAAAAGATACCTGGTCAAATGCAGCTACTTTTGATTTTGATGTTTATGAGGGCTTCCAGAACAGACAGGAGACAGCTGTGGCAGCACGTGAACTTGAGGATGCCTACAAAGAGTCAGATATTATATTTTGCTCACGAAGAAGGGGGTCTGTCCCTGGCTTGCAAACTGGATAGCAGCTGTCCTGTATTCAAGTATGGCTGCCCTTCACATGGACCTCAGAACCATGTAATATCGCCCTAAGACTACCCCAGGGTTCTGCCATTTCACCAGTTCTCTTCAATGTGTATACAAGCAAGACGGTTGAACTTGAAGCACCAAGTTTTTGAAAGATATTGATATTTGCAGATAATGTTATTGCATACAGGCAGGGGAGTAGTAGGCAACGGACAGCAAAAGAGCTAGAGGCAACTGTAGACAAAGTGACTGACTGGTGTGCATAAATGGGTGCTGTCATAAACTCAGAAAAGGCGGCTGTTTTGTGGTGCTCTCTGACAATGGAATTATAAGAGCTAATGTCCCATGCCTCACAAATAATAACAGTAACATCAAAAGAGAAAGCAAACCTGGGTATCATTTTCGACAGAAGTCTGTCCTTCAGGGATAATTTGGAGGCAGTTGCGGATAAATGCCAGACATGTCTCAATGCTCTCAAGAAAATGACAGCAATGGACATGGAACAAAGAATGCTGTTTACAAATTTCTTGCATTTGATGCTGTCGGTGATAGATTATGGACTTGGAATGCTCACCATATCAAAGAGTTAGCTGAAACTTGAACGCATACAGAAGGATGTGGTTAGCCCTTTCTTTTGTGTGTGTGAGATAATCCCCATCAAGACATCATCATGATGATTTGTATCTGTTTACGGTGTGAGATCATTTTTCTACAAAGCGAAATCACCGGAGTCTCTATGTCATGTGATACTAATCTGATGACCTCACTGTATTGTATGTAATTCAATCAGTTTCCCGTAAAGTTTGGCTTGCACCGTTGTTTCTTTTGGCCCACAGTTTTGTTCCTGATATCTTGTATTCGGGACAGTCTTGAAAGACGTGATCTGTTGTCTCAGGTGCTAATCCACATGTACACTTGGCGGATTCGCCAATCTTAAATTTTGAGTAGATACGGCTGCGAGGTCGCCGGACTTTTTATGATGATCATCAATACAAATAGATTGTGACATTCACATTTAAATAAATAATATTATCAAAAACTTATGACATATGTATCAAAATGTATATTACATACACACAAACACACACACACACACACACACACACTAACAATCATGATTGTCATGAAAGGCTAATAATATACTTTTACTAATAATCACGAATATTTCTAGAAGCTGACTGATACATACTTACTAAACTCGTGAGTCCTATCATAGGTGGATGGTGCGCGCGCACACACGCGCACAATTTAAGATGCCGCAATGTTATCACAAGTGAAATATTACAGTCGAGAGGCTTGTCTTCACTGCACTGAGTGTTATCTCACATAAATTAGTCTTTCTTTTTGTAACAGCCAACCGCCTGCTGAGAGAGTCACACGAAGCGTGAACTCCATAGCTCCAGTGACGATCCCTAGTAATCGCGGTAAAAGCTTCACATGTGAAACGAACACACGACCTTTGGGATACTAGGCAAACGGCATAATCAAGAGCCCATAGAAACACCCATAAAAGGATAATTACTTTCACATACTAAAAAAATATGAATTTTATCAAATGTTAATAATGCACACACAACTATCATTAATATCATCAAAGGTTATTGACATACACATAATAAAAAGTCAAGAACCCCCTCTCTAAGCCTTTATGAGTTTGGACCTTTAGTGCTTCAGCTAAAGTTTAAAGACCAATCATCACTCGGTGGATGATGTGGTCAACACCTCACCGGCCTTCTTTACTTCCCATGCTTTTACCTGGTACGCATGTAGGGCTTTGTCGACTGGGTTTGAGGTTAGTTGCGTATCCTTAACAGGACGTTGCAGAACCAACCCCAGCAGACCCTGGCTGTTGTGTGGTGTCTCTAGGCAAATTTACGTCCAGTAGTTTGCCATTGCATACTAGACGGTTGGCCCCCTGATACCACTGTCGAAACCAATGCAAGGCGCATGGCCCGCAGCTGGTATCTAACCCAGCACCCCGCAGTACGAAGCGTTCGCATCGACTTAGCCACAGAGCCGACGGTCGAGCCAAGTTAATTCTTGTTTTTCTCTAATGTCCAGTTCCGTGGGAACCTCTGAATCGGCAAGCGATCGTCTAACCACTGCACCACGGCTGCTTCTGAGATAGATATATGAACAACCATAAATGTAAAAAACTTACAACACACACATACTCCCAATCATAAATAGACAGAAAGTACTCACCACTTGTTTCGGCACAGAGTCCTGCGAGGAGAGCGTCATAGAGTTGTACTTGGTCGACCCGGGCCTTCGCCGGCCCCATCTGCTGGCTCTGCTATTGTTGGACGGTACATCCACCTTGATTCGAGACAGAACAGTCATCATGTTAGTTGGACCAGCCTTTGACCTTTGCGACCCACCCCCACGTCCTCGGCCACGCCTCTGTAGTGACGGTGAACTCATTGTTTCTGTCGCTACTGCACCGGAATACCTCAGACGGTACCAATGTGAACTGACATAGCTGACATTAAATGTTCAAGCGAGTCAAGTGTGTTCGTTCCACTGTTTTGTATTTGTATTGATAAATTCTCTATAAATGAAATCATTAAACTTTTCTAGAACCAAGCACGAGTTACTTTAACTCATTCATTTCTAAAAAGTTCTTACTTTAAGTAATCAATATTTAAGTCGGAGATATTGAAATATTAACACTTTGAGACTGAAGGAGCCGCCGTGGTGTAGCGGCTAGAAGTCCGGCAGAGGATACAGAGCTCGTGGGTTCAGGTCCTGTCGGAGCCGACCTGTTCTATGTTTCGTTTACCCCCCCCCCCTTTTTACAAAAAGACATTGGCTCCCATGTAGACCCAGCGTTAATTTTGTACCAGGTACAGTCCTGGGAAGTTAAGGCGGCCGGCGTGATGTTGACTACACGCACCAGGTGCCGATTGATGTATAAAATATAAGTCTCGCTCTATATGCCCAATATACTCGAATATGTGGAAAAAGGTACTTTACTTTAAAACACATTTTTTTCCGCACATTTTTGCTGTTGCACAGAAGGAGTTAAAGTAAGAAAAAGAGCCAAACAGATGAATGTAACAACTTTATGGTCCACATGGAGTTAAGACATATGTACTGTCAGTTAGACACAACCAATTCATAGCGAGTTGCTTGGTACTCAAAGTGTTGAAAGAATTAACACAGTACAAATGGACTCACCAAGGGAGGACGTCCAAGAGAAGCTCAACAAAGAAAGGTAACAAGGGAGGACGAAGGTGCCGAGGGTGCTGGAGTAGACGAGTAACGTTAAATGTTTAAAAAAAAACACAAATGTTTAGGACAGATGTAATTTTGCAATGCAACGTAAGGACGCGACGCAATGGTGATGGTCCTAACCATAACGAAGAACAGTAAAGCCTTTTAAATATGTTATATACGTTAACTTATTCCATATGTCTACACACAAGTACGCATATCCATTTGTGAACATATCATCCATACACGTGTTCATTCACCATTCATCAGCGAAGACGTCCATTTATTTACCCAGGCAATCATAAATATGCATGACGGATTTCTTCACCAAGAGTTCAAGTGACATGTTGGTTTTGTTGTTGTTGCACCGAAGATTGACAGCCAAAGTAAATCATGATAGACAATGAATGAACTTTGCTAAACAAATCTAATTTCTAAGCGGAAAAGGCTGTGCAAGGAAGCTCGTGATAGCAGTCACCACACCATCATTTTTGTTTTGAAGACATCGCGCCCTCCAGCAAAGCACAACTTGTACAGTTGACAGACAAGAATTTAAATATTAACATTCTCCCATACCTATAGCATTCCCTAGACCAAAGGTCGGCAAACTCTTTAGTCAAAAGAACCAAAAATCAGCAGCAGGTCGAGTGCCAAATTTGTTCAAAGAAAAACCTGTGAAGAACCACGTTTCTCGGAGTCCAACCCGATTTGTGGCTGACTGGTCGAGTCGCACTCAGATCACTAAATGGCTGACTGGTCGAGTCGCATTCAGATCACTAAATGGCTGACTGGTCGAGTCGCACTCAGATCACTAAATGGCTGACTGGTCGAGTCGTACTCAGATCACTAAAGAGCTGCCTGCGGCTCGCGAGTCGCGATTTACCGACCTCTGTTTCTCGGCACCCAGTTTGAGTACCGCTGCGGTATTGCATTGTTAGCTCGACCCGGTGACGTCAGCAGCACGACCCGTCAGCTGAATCAGGTCGGGGTTTAACTGTAGCCTTGTGTGTGTGTGTGTGTCTGTGTGTATATATATATTAGTTCCTCCCATCTCCCTCCAGATTTTCAGTTTGTAGAATTAACAATACAAGGTTAACAATTAGACAGAAATCCCAGAAAGCCCCATTTCACTGGATAGCTATGTAGCACAGTTATATTGGGGGACCCACAAAACGGTTAAGAAATCACCTGTAGTCCTGTGTACATGTGTGTTTTTGAGTTCATTTTTTTAAATGTAAAGAGGAGAAAAAAACAATTTCGATTTGATGGAGAAGTCACGTCGCTGTCAAATTCTCTCTCTCTCTCTCTGTGTGTGTGTGTGTGTGTGTGTGTGTGTGTGTGTGGATACAACATGGTAATTTTGAAGTTAAAAAATACAGTAAGTAAAGGAGATTTTCCCAAGCCTATAAAGTTGTTAGGTATATAGTGCTGGACCTATGTTTTTAGATCGATCGTCAGTCCTTGGGCGATGAGGTCAACGTCTAACTGGCCGCCTTTACTTCTCAGGACTTTACCCAGTACCAATTAAAGGGTGGATCGACTTGGGAGCCGAGATCATGTTTGAAACGCAGTCAAGAGCCGAGCCCATGATGATATATTTGATGGGGATCATCCAGAAACTACATCTCTAACATTTTGTGATGCCCTAATTTCTTCCTGAGATTGACTCTCTCAACTACCCGATGTTAAAGTCGAACACAGGAACGCGGAAGATTATGGAACGTGTTTCTTTACTTTTAAAGCACTGAAGTATACTTTTTATACAAATACTAGTTCTCTACATTTTCTTCATATTTAGGCTGCACACACACGCACGCGCGCGCGCGCGCACACACACACACACACATATATATATATATATATATATATATATATATATGTACGCACACGCAGACACACACCAGACCTCGCGCGCACATACACACTCATCACACACAAGCGCGCACGCACCTACACACACCGTGTAGGTACGGATGCTATAAACACACGATATAACAGCGCCAAGTAGCTCAGAAAAGGTGGCAAGTATAAGAATTCTATTACTGTCTTCACACAGTTACTCTAAACCTCTCCAGTTTGTTGCTGTAAACATCCCCAATGCTGCAGGTATTTCCGGCACTATCAGCTATAAAATAATATCGATCGGGTGCTCAGAACAACAGACACGCGTTCACAAGCAAGAGTGGGATGCTGGTTCTAAGATTAGTTCTGTAATTCCTCAGAAATTACACTGCAAGAGTTTGCAGTGTGTTAATTGTAAGATTGTATAGATCTGAAAAGAAAATTGGAGTAGCGATAAATGCATATCTTTTACATGACGTTGTAGAATCAACCCTAGCATTGTTTGACTGTGTGGTTTTACTGTGCACTTTTATGTTCGGTAGTTTGCCGCTAAGATTGAACAGCCTTAAAAGTCTATGGTTAAATACCAGCACGGAGATCAAAGTAAGAATTTTGAGAGCATGCATCTTTCCTGTGGCTATATCCGTATGTGTGTCGTGGACTATCTCCCAGTCCTTGAGAAAGAGAATAGGGGCTTTTGAGTTGAAATGCTATAAAAAGTAGGGCTGTACCGAATAGAGATTTTTACTATTCGGCCGAATACGAATAGCTGGACCAACTATTCGGCCGAATACGAATACGAATAGTAAATCATCCTCATCATCCGGTGCTTTACCGACTGGCGTGGGCGAATATGCCTCGCCACAATCTGCTGTCTCCTGCAGCATGTATTAGTTCGTGTGCTGACACACCTTCATGTCATACAACAAGACTGTCAAGCATCTTCTCTCGTTGTCTTACTCTATCCCTCCTTCCACATATCTTTCCAGTGGTCACCAGATGTTCCATTTTCCCTCATCTTTTAACATGGCCGAAAAATGATGACTGTCTCCTTCTGATGTCTGCGAGTAGTTGTCTTCGGGCTCCGGCCTTTATCAAAAACTCTTGGTTGTTTTGTTTGTTTGTTTGTTGGCTGTCCAATGTATTTTAAGCATTGTTCTGTAAAAGCACATCTCTGAGGCCTCAAGAAATTGTTTGGCATGCCTACCGATTGTCCAGGATTACAGCCATATGTTAACCGTAGATGTATGTAGCAAGCAAAAATTCTTGATGTCTTCTTCTTCTTTCGTTCGCCTGAAATAAGTTGTCTATATCAGCAGTTTTGTCTCTTCTTTAAATTTCACTGTCGTTGTTAGTTCATTCAGTGGTCCATAGAGTTTGAATTTTGTGTACATGTGGTTACGTAATCGGCTGTGCCCTGTTCTGAGGCGGAGGATAATGACTTGTTCTGGTCTGTCCATAATAAAATAGTCGTCTTGTGCTGGAGCTGGTGGTTTCCTGATCGATTTAATGATTCTTTTCTTTTGGTGGTATGTGACTGGTACATCCGGCTGCTCTTTTGTCGCACCTTCCCCTGCCAGTTGATCAGCTTTCTCATTTCCAGGCACTCCACAATGAGACGGTATCCACTGCATTACGACTCTTCGCTGAACGCTGAGTTGTGTCAGCAGTGTTTGCAATTCTGGTAGTTTCCTAGACTGGAGTGCTTCAAGTACTGATTTAGCATCTGTCAGCATTACCACATACTGTGAGCCAAGGTTGGTATTTAGCAGTTTCTCTGTAGCTATCTTGATAGCCTGGGTTTCTGCATCGTAGTTATGGCAGTACTTCCCGGTTGGTACGCTGGACTTATCCCTAGTACCATCTGGGAATTCGATGTACACTCCAGCGCCACCATTTCTAACTGCATTTTCTGCGGACCCATCTGTATAGACTCTGACCCGTTGTTCTTGTGGGTATTCTTCATCAATATAAGGGTGGCCATTCTGCGTTGTACACTATCTTGCTCTTTCTTGTCAAATATCCCTTTCACATTTGTCTGGATTTGTACCGTTAGTTTACATTTTTCTCTCCATGGGGTTTGTTCCGGAATACTTTTAAGTGGACAACCAATTTCTGGAAGGTCAGGAGTTTGTTTACATATTCTTTTTGCTTGGTGTATAAAGCTGCTTCTTTTTAACCGTCCCAAGGCTAGGTTCTTAAATCTATTTTCCATCGGGTGATCTGGCATACTGAGGAACTTTTCAGCTTGTATTTGCAAC